GGTAAGTGGACCCATCGCACCCATCCTCAAGACAGTGACTATATTAGCCCCCTCCATGCCCGAAGCTGTCAAAGTGAAAGCCTTAATAGACTCTGGCTGCATCCGCTGCCTCATTAGCCCAACACTAGTGGGGAACTTGGGCATCCCGGTGAGGAGGCTGAAAAAACCAATCTCGTTCGGCCAGTTAAATGGGTCCATAGCAGGAGGGGTGCCAGCTACCCTAGCCACTTTACCAATCCACCTATCCCTGGGGAACCACGAGGAAGACATAATGTTTGTAGTGACCGCAGGCATGGAATGCCCAGTGACCCTAGGGCTGGAGTGGCTAAAGAAATGGAACTCCTGGGTAAATTGGAGGATGGAAGAACTCAGTTTCTTGAAGGGGGATCATGCGAACTTAACACCCCAAGGAGCCCTATCAAACCCAGGAGGGAGAAAGCATCGCTGGGAGAGGAAAATGGGTTACCCAAAATACTGGAGGAATACCGAGACCTTGCTGAAGTTTTCAGTGAGGAACGGGCGGATGAGCTCCCCCCTCACTGACCCACGGATTGTGCCATAGAATTCAAACCTGGGGCAAAACTCCTGAAGTCCAGACTATGTTCTATGAGCCCTAAAGAGAAGGAGAAAATGGAAAGATTCATAAATAAAAACCTAGAAAGGGGATTTATCGAACCTGCGAAGCCTAAAGTAGCTGCCCCGGTCCTCTTTAGAGAGAAGAAGGACAGCACTTTGCACTTGTGTGTGGATTACCACACCCTGAATGCAATCAGTGAAAGTAACCTATACCCCCTACCCCTCATGAAGGACATGTTATCCCACCTATCGAAAGAAAGAATTTTCACTAAACTAGACCTAAGGGAAGCATATTACCACATTAGAAGGGGACGAATGGAAAACCGTATTTAATTGCCCAATGGGATGCTACCAATTCAAAGTTTTGCCGTCTGGACTACAAGGAGGCCCCGCAGTATGTATGCAATTAATCAACGAGATACTAAGAGAGCACGTATTTAAGGGAGTCCTGGTTTATCTAGACGACATCCTTATCTTCACCGAATCCAAAGAGGAGCATGTCAACCTAGTCAGAGCGGTTTTAAAGAAACTGCTAGCTGCCCACTTATATGCCAAACTATCAAAATGCGAATTCCACCAGGAAAGAATAGAATACCTGGGTTATTGCATATCCCCACAGGGCATTGAAATGGACCCTGAGAAGGTCAGGGCAGCACTAGAATGGGCACCACCTAGCACAAGGAAGCAGTTGCAAAGTTTCCTGGGTTTTGCAAACTTTTACCGTCAGTTCATCCCTTCATTTGCCCAAATAGCCCTGCCCCTCACGAACTTACTAAAAATGAAGGGAGAATCCTCAGTGAAACCCAGCCAGCCACTGAAATGGACAATGGAATGCCAAGCAGCATTTGAGAGATTAAAGAGACTCTTTTCCGTTGAACCCGTATTGAGGCACCCGGACACAGATAAACCCTTCGTAATACAGGCGGACGCAAGCAATGTGGCAGTGGGGTCTGTACTATTACAAGAAAATGACAAAGGGGTATTGCAACCATGCGCGTACACGTCCAGGAAACTCACTGAAACGGAACAGCTCTGGGCTGTGTGGGAAAAGGAAGCATATGCTGTGAGATGGTTGTTACTTACATGGCACCATTTCCTTGAAGGGAATAAAATCCCTTTTCAGGTCTGGACGGACCACAAAAACTTGGAAGTCTTAAAAACACCCAGGAAGCTCAGTCCCAAGCAAGCCCGCTGGTCCCAGCATTTTCACCAATTCCGTTTTACGCTCAAACACTTGCCGGGGGGAAAGAACTTCCTGGCAGATGCACTGTCTCTCATGCCCCAATATAACAACATGCGAGCCACCGGTTCTAAACCACTCATGCCCGAACCACAACTGGCAGCACCAGTAACCACCAGAGCCCAAGCTAAAATAAAGCCGCAGCTGAGTAGCCAAACCGGAATCAAATTCCAGAAAACTTTAGAAACAGATAAATGGTTCCAGGAAAATAGACACATGTGCACGATCAAGGATGGACTGTCATGGGTGGGGGAGACGTTATATATACCAGCCACCCAGAGGGTCACTTCCATGCAGCTATGCCATGATACCAAATCAGCAGGGCCTTTTGGATTTGTAAAAACGCTACATTTGATTAAAAGGCAATTTTGGTAGCCATCCATGAAAAAGGACATAGAAAGTTACGTGGCCAGCTGCCCAACTTGCACAGTTGCTATGAGGTTGCAAGGGAAATCGTCCGGACTGCTACAACCAGTGGCGAATCCCTCAGCCCCCTGGAAAGAAATATCCATGGATTTTATATTGGAACTACCAGAAATCAATGGAAACACTGTCATCTGGGTGGTTACGGACCTGTTTTCCAAACAAGTGCATTTTATCCCTTGCCAAGAGAACTAACCCCAAATGAACCGGCAATCCCATCGCTGAAATAATGGATATCACAATTACAAAACACCTGGCCAGTGGTTAGGAAAGCTTTAGATGAAGCTTGGCAAGCATACATAGCACAAGCGGATAAAAAAAAGAGTTGAACCTATACCATTCACTGTAGGAGAAATGGTATATTTATCTACAAAATACCTAAAATCCCTACAGCCCTGTAAAAAACTTGGTCCAAAATATATAGGACCTTTTCCAATTAAGAGAATCATAAACCCAGTAACAGTAGAATTAGAACTACCCAAAAACCTCAGGCAAATACACCCAATTTTTCAAATGAGAACAACAGTCGCCCTTACGGCCAAAAATCCCCCCACCACCACCACCTCCAATCATGGTTGAAGGAGAACATTTCAAGATAAAAGAAATCCTAGATTCTAGGAAGTATCACAGGGCAACTCAATACCTAGTAGCATGGAAACACCTTCCCTCCTCACAAAACGAGTGGGTCCATAAACGTCATGTCAGAGCACCTAAACTACTAAAGAAGTTTCATACAGAATATCCCAACAAACCAGAGTAACCTCTATACCTGTTTTGTTTTCTCTACAGGTGGATTTCTCATATTTTTAAGGGGGGCAGGATGTCAGAACCCATTCCTATTTCATTTCTATCTATCCCCTCTGACTTAAAAACAAATCTCACCTTTCCCTGGGTTCTGCCATACTCCCAAAGGGGAGGGGGGTTGTGCCTGCGGAGTTATTGCTTTCGCTTCCTCTATTTGCTACAATGTAACCTTTTGCTTCGTTTATTGCTGCTGTGTCTGTTGCCCGCTACAATGTAACATATTGCTTCCTACGCTATGTCTTTCTCTGAACTTTATCTTCCTAAACTGTCAAAACAAGGGAGGATATAAGGAATGTAACTCAGTGCCTGGTTTATTTCTATGCTCTCAGAGGAAGGTGTGAAGAAGCCGCTGACCATCGCTGCATGAACTGGAGATGGGCCGATGTTATCTCCCCTTTCCCACGATGGACTTAACACCTGGGGATTGGATGTCCCATACCAGATGGGTGGACTATGGGTGGGGTCTAAGTTGGGGATATCTTAATCTATCACTCTGTGCGGGAAATCTCAGATCCTGTCTATTATGCCTGCTATCAACTACTCTTAATAAAAGTTCCTGTTGGAAGAAACCGTCTCCAAGAGTTCTGCTTTCTTAAGATGTGGGATTGAACTGGGTCCTTACAATATGTTTTTATTTTATGGAATCTTATAGATTTTTAGATTTAGGCTTGCATTTAAACATTAAATGCACTTTCTAGGAAGAAAAGCATAGAAAGAAAAATCAACAAATCCTGGGTACTTTCAGGCCAATCTCTTGCACATTCTGTATAATTGTCTACATTTGCCATGCAGACAATTTCACATGGAGTATTGGTACTAAGCAGGCCACTCATTGCAAATTTCAGCATGCCCTGATAAGTGTGAAAGCTTGATAGATTGATTATGTGCCATCAAATCATTATTGACTGCTAGTGAACATATAGATAGGAACAGATTGTCAGGAAGAAAATCTAATTGTTGTTTCAAAGCATGCTGCTCTCCTTGAATTATGAACTGTGGGAGGAAGGATAACTTTTAATTAGATGATATGAGGAGTGAATGGGATTGTGATACTAACGATTTTTAATTGTGTAACTGACAATGGATTGTTTAAAACAGAAGTGACCAACATTTTGTAGTGTGAGAATTGCACTTGGTCTTGAAGGACATACAGAAAATGGACATTGGGACAAAATGATCTTGGTTTAATTTACTTTTCCCCTCCTTTTAACATATTAAAATTGGTAAAAAAAGTGAGAATTTTTGGTGGAGTTCCGGGCCCACATTTAGTTAAAGGTTCACAACTCAAAACATGCATCTGCACCTCTGTCCCTACCTTTGTGGACCATTGCACATCTTTGGAATATTATGAGAACATTAAGTACTCTTACAAAATGGTTTTCATGGACATGGAGGGTAAGGCTAGTTGCAAAAAAAGCTATAAATTTATGAGGATACTTCATGCTGTCACATAAACACCAATGATGCTCCCCACTATTACCTCATGTTCTTCTGACTATATTTTTTTTGTCAGACCAACTGTTTTAATTTTTTTTCTAATTTAAACCTAAGATTTCTGAAGAAGTCAGATGGGGCATGGTAGCAGTAGCAAAGGAGATGTCTGCAGAGACTGTAGTTCTCATAAAATGGTTTTTTTTAAAAAAAAAAAAAATTTGAGGACCTAGCAGTAAAATTCCAGCTTCAAGCTTGTGAAGAATATTATTTTCTCTGGCCAAGGAGAGACTAAATCATTGAGGTGTTAACTGCTTTCTTGAAAGTATCATTTTTAAATGCTTTTTTATGCATCCTGTTTTCAGAATACCTGCTGGAAATACTTGGGACTACATATTAAGAGAACAGAAAACAAAGCAAAATAACCCAAAAGGCAATCAATAACTTTTTATGAGTATATTTAAAAACTGCACAATAAGCCATTTCTCTTGTGTTCAAGGAAACTGATTTGTCTGTTTGTTTTTAGTTTCTATAGTAATGGGGATTCCAACTGTCAAGAGAAAAGTAAAATCTTACCTTACTGAAACTCTTCACTCGCTGATTGATAAGCTGTCACCCGAGGAGAAATTGGATTGTGTTATGATTGTATTCATAGGAGAGGTAATTCTAATATTGTTTATTTGATTTATATAGCTGTCCTTTTCACATATATTACTCTGGGAAGCTTACAATAAAATAGATTAAAAAAACAAATAAAACACATAATTAAAATAAAACGCATAGTGTAGCAGCTGGGCATCATAAAATAACTGTCAACAAAACCAAGAGATGGGTTCTATCACACTTTGGAGGTCCCACGTCCAAGCACAAGACCAGGTTTTTAGGGTCTTGATAAAGGCCAGCCTAACTTAATCTCAGGGGGAATGATGTCCACAGGATGATTGCCACAGTATAAAAGAACCTCTTCCTGGGCTCTAGTAAGCTGACACTCCTTAGCAGGCCCCTCCTGCCAGACTTGGAGGGATGGGTAGAAACAGTTGATGAGGGATGGCCCATAAGTAGCCCATGAAAGTCTTTAAAGGTCTATGTCTACTTCTACTTCTTTGAGCAGAAATTGTGAATCCAGGAGGACCTCCAGATTGTGCACCAGGTCTATCTGCACTGTGCCACCCCACCCAGAACCAAAGATAGAAGGTCCCCCAAACCAGAAGTCCAAAAACACAAAGCCACTTGGCCTTGCCTGTTTATCTGAAGTGATTATGATTATGATTCCCATAACTTCCAGGCACCAAGAGAGAACCTCCATAGCATCATAGCACCAAGTGGAGATGTAAAGCTGAGTATCATCAGCATACTGGTGATACCTCATCTTGAAGCTTCACATGTAAAGCTTCCTGTAAATCTTAAACATTTTTTTAAAATTAAAAAATATATTTTCAGTTTGTTCTAAGGTTTATCTCTTAGATGGAACATGGGGCTGAAGGGGAAGGAGGGTAGGAGGCAGATTAAGATTTTACCTATAGATCTTAGACTATCTGAACCAGATAGAAAAAACTCTTGTTTCCATTTTATATACAATGGATACAACATAATCATCAGTAGCATGATACTAAATGTTCATCAGTTTAGACTAGAGAAAGTAAAGTAATCCAGTTAGTTCAAAGGGCCTTGTTTCATAGATAAGAGTGCTCAGATCATATCCTAAGAACTGTCTCTTTTGCATGGTGTCCAAAGAAAACCAGTGTTTTTCTTTGCAGCTATATATTGCAGAGGAGATGTGGTTGAAAGAATTGAGATAATGGGCCATTAGTATCAAAACTTCATTATGTGCAGCTCTTTGAGGCATAAGATTTGTGGGAGTTCATTAAAAAAATGAAAACAACCTCAGATCTGGTTCTGTTGTTGAAGTATACAGTAAGGCTTTTAATGGCGGCCAGATGAGTTCTAGACAAACTGCACAAATTTAATGCTTTTTGGTGTGGAATGAATTGGCAAGGTAGAGAATCATAACTGTTATAAGGGAAATTGGTTAAGCAAATTTCATTAAAAAATATACACGTGCTTCTTTGTGAAAGGACTTGAATTGCACCAAATGAGTACTGTTGAGTGTTTTACTGTTAAGGGAAAATATATTCTGTTTGCTAAAGGCAGTCAGTTCAGGAGAAACAAGACTGGGCTCTTATAATAATTTCTGTTTGCTTAATATTGGAAGGTATTAATGGCATTGAGCCTGAAGCAGCATTGAACTTAATTCAGGAGTTATGTAGCTTGTGCAGCCAGCTTCTGAACTATATATAAAAAAGATTAGAATCCTACATATGTAAGATTAAGAGACCAGCAATTCCTTTTGTCCTTTATGTTTCTGAAACAACATTTTGATGAGCTTTGGGTTTTGGCTGGGAGAGAAGGGGTAGGAAAATTCATTTCTGTCTGCTTCTTTCTGGATCAGCTCATGCGTTTTATGGACGCTTATAGAATTGTTGCTAGAGGGTTCAAACTTTCCTGGCTGGTCCAAGAAACCAAAATTATATCAAATGAGTTGTGGACTGAAACATTTGCTGTATATGAATTCCTTAGAACAGTGTTTCTCAACCTTGGCAACATTAAAATGTATGGACTTCAACTCCCAGCATTGAAGTTCATACTTTAAGAAGTATGGACTTCAGAAGTCACTAAGGTTGAGAAACAGTGCCTTAGAACAAATACATTGGATTATTGGTTTCCAAAACTCTCTTTTAATTAAGCCATTTTCTGTATATGGAGAGATATAGTTCAGTTGGAGTAGATAGAATAGTTATCCTGAACCTAGACACTGGGATTGGATGAAGCAATGATATGCTACTTATGTATACCAAAGAAATCATGCTGTGCTGATTTTTTTCAGAGAAATTACAAAGCTAACTAAAAGGATTTTAATTGGGCTACTTCGATTCTTAACATAGTTAGAATGCAGTGGACGCTTTGCTTGTGTGTAGGAATTGGGGAGCAAAATTAGGCAAAAACAACATAGTTCACCCATGAGCCCCACCATTGCAATTCCCATTCTCCCCTCCTTCAGTTTGCTCCAGTTTCAATATAGAGCCAGAGATAAGCCATCTCATAATGAAAGTAAGCAGGTATCATGGGGAAGGACAATTCAGAACTTGAAGCTTCAGAGATTGTGCATGTGGAGAGGTCCTGCTCTTTTTTCAGTGCTTTTCTGGGATCAGATTCAGGTACAGTGCCCAAAATATACTGTATGTGCCTATTGTGTATTTATGAATAAAGGACCTATCAAATCAAACATACGAATGAGAGTAAAAGTAAACACGCTAAAGTTGAATTGAGGTGAATGTTCTGCTGGCTGTTATCTGTGACGAAGAAAACAATCCTTTTGTATGGCATTTGTTAATGAATGAATACATTTGGGTGGTTAATATAAGCCTATTTGAAGAACAAAAATAAGTATACAAACTATGCAATTGTCAAACCAATTATCCATACTATATGTAAAGATGTTGTTTTCCTTTTCTTTCTAGACAGAACTTGACTATGTAAATGGTGTTGTGGCAAACCTTGAAAAAGAGTAAGTTTAATTTATACAAGTTACCACTGAAATATTTTGGATTATCTACTTTTTAGTACACAGCTTAGAATCCAAAACTGACATTTCTAAATAAGTTTGTGTAATATATTACATCAATACACAATATACATTACAGTTATATAATTACAGTGAATATTGAGATAACTTTTCTTCTAAAACAGCAAATAATATTACAATATAAGATCCAGGCAGTCCTGAATTGGATACATCCACATGAAATAAAGATTGCATACCTACATTAAAGTTTTTATATTAGTGGTAAACTATAAAAAAGACTGCCTACGTGCTTAAGAAGTTAATATTGGTTGGTTTTGTAAAATATATATTTACCTCTATAGACTATTCCATTGATAATTGCAAGTGATTTGAGACAATATGCTGCACTGATTTTGTAGATGTAAAATTTTCAACCTCAGAAACTATCAAAGGCTTGGTGAACATGGAAGCCTCTTCATGAAACACAGTTTAGTGTGGATCCAGGTGATAAAACTATAGTTTTACATGTAAGTTGAAATCAGCAGTTGGCCTCCAATTTATTAACTTGCTTGGTGCCCTACATTTTGTTTCACAGCTGAATAAAAAGTTGAATCCAAGTCCAGTGTTCATCACAGATGTCTGAAGTACAGCTTCCATGAATAGAAAATAACAAAACTTTTCTGACCCCAGGTTTTCTTCAGAAATTCGTTCTGGCTTAGTGGAAGTAATAGCTCCTCCTGCGTTTTACTATCCTGACATGAAAAATCTAAAAGAGACATTTGGAGATTCAAAAGAAAGAGTCAGGTAAGGACTTTTTTTCTTGCAGGTGAGAAACTGCTTTGGTCATCACAGTAGATCTTAACAGAGATAGTCTAGGACAGGGCTTTTCAACTTTTTCACCCATTGTACCACTTTTAGGATATGGCACATCCGAGTACCACCAGTCGCCTATCAAGGTGTCAAAAATTTGATGACCCCCCCAAAAAAGGAAAAAAGTGATAAAGTACAGGTAGTCCTCGACTTACAACCGTTCGCTTAGTGACTGTTCGAAGTTACAATGGCATTGAAAAAAGTGCCCCCCAAGCCACAGCCGAGCGAGACGCCTGCCCGCCCGGCGGCGCTCTTCCTCCTGTCTGAGGTTTTCATTGTTGTGAGCATTTCTGTTGAGGATTGGCAGCGGGGGTGGAGTGGGGGGTGTTTGGTTTTTATTCCCCCCATCTGCTGGGTGGTTGCAGCAAGTTTTGGTCACTTCACATGACCCTGGGACACTGTGACCATCATAAATATGAATCAGTTACCAAACATCTGAATGTAAATCACAAGACCCTGGAGATGCTGCAACATTCCAGCTGATCGGCACTTCTTCTGGGCTCAGCAGAAGCGCCAGGATCAGTGCTGCTTTCCAGCTGATTGGTGCTTCTTCAGGGCTCAGCAGAAGCACCAGGATCAGCGCTGAGCTCCAGCTGATCCTGGCGCTTCCGCTGAGCCCTGACAGCCCTGCAGCTCCAGCCATCTCTTGCTCAGGCTTGTGTGGTGCTGCCACCGGTTCAGCTCATTCCCCTCCCCTGCTACCACTTTTTTAGGATGGTTGCATACCACCTGCCAGGTGCCAATGCACCACAGGTGGTACCCGTACCACTGGTTGAAAAACCCTGGTCTAGGATACTGTTAACTTACATATTGCATTTGAGAATACAGGATAAACTAGGTCCAGAATTAGGCTGCAAACTCTATTGCATGTTTTGTATCCAGCAGTCTTTCCTAATTTGGTGCCCTTTAGATATGTAGAGGAACTATACTTTTCACAGTCCTCGGCCATTGGCCATGTTGGTGACAGAACGTGAAACTGCCCATATACAACAGTTGAGGAAAGACAGTTTACATTATTCTTACTATTCTTACTATTACACTATTCTTCAGGAATATTCATTTTTAAACATGACCTCAGACATGAGTCTTGAGCAAAAATAATTCAAAAGGGTTTTTTCTAATCTAAATCTTATCTTTTAGCTTTCTCGTGATAATGTCAGTTTTGCTGTTGTAGCCTTCTTTTGATCCGCAAATGCTTAAATTGGCACTGTGTTTATATCATTGGATTTGGAACTTTGTTGAGTTGCTACTGTAGTATTTGGTGACTAAGCAGATAAACTGAAGTATAGTTTGGATTAAATAATGGCTAGAAAAACCTTCTATAGTGGCTATTGTGTCTGCAATCCTAGCACTAGAAGTACATGTTTCTTCGGTAATGTCTGCTAGGACTTGGGGCAGAACCAAGGTGCTACCAATTAGGACATGGGAGTGCTTTTTATGCTATTAGATATATATCAAACCAAAGTAAATATCACACAGGAAAACCTTGAACAGGATCTGCACAACTTTTGAAGGGCATCATCCAAAATTGCCATTTCACTGACAAAGGAAACTAAAGACCAACAAAGATTCCTATGCTAGAGGAAGGAGGGTAGGGAACAACTTTTCACAGATGCAATTGTGTGGAAAGTCCCCCAGTGCAGCAGAGCAGATTTTCCCAAGCAAAAAAATGTAGGAAATTGCATAAAGAAAGGACATTCAAAAAGAGCTTTTGTCCACTGATAGACTTCCTGTAATGGACCTCTTCAGATGTTCCAGTGAAGTGGTGGATGGTGAGATTTGGGAATCAATGGGGGTGTGGGAGACAGAGAGATTACTTGTGTTCATTCATTACAAAAATAATAACTAAAAACCATGTTTATGTTTCAAGCATAAAGTTTTCAAGCTTATGTTTTGTCTGCCTGCTCGCATGCAAAATCAATAACATTAAATATTTAATTTTAGATGGAGGACAAAGCAAAATCTGGATTACTGTTTTCTTATGATGTACGCACAGAAAAAGGGTGTATACTACATTCAGGTAAATTGTTTTTATATTCTGAATGTAAAAATGAATATTCAAAATATTTTTAAAATGTATAACAGTGAACATATATATATGGATTAGCTATTACAGTAAATATTTCAATAAAATAATGAAAAATAGTGTAAGATTAAAATGTTTTCTTTGCAGTGGAATTTAAAATTTCAATTTAAAATTAAAACTGTATTTTCATGATTATTTGAAATTTTAAAAGGCTTGTAGGATTCTTAAACACATGCAATATTTTTAACTTCATTAGCATCTGTTATTGTCAAAATTGCATTTTGTAAATTTGATTCAGTCTACCAGCCATGAGTGTGCAATAAGGCCATAGTTAAAGAGAATTACACATATTTAGATTTTTAGCCTCAAGGCAACTAATTAATTAATAATTAAGCAAAACTAATTTTTCCCTGGAAAAAGATACAGGTTCGTTTAGTTAAAGTGCAATGAGCACTTCTTTTTGCATGCTCTGATTTGCCTTTGAATCCAGTGTTGCATAACTGTGTAAAGCTGGCCCTGGCATGTAAACACCCTTTGTTTAGTGACTACCTTGGTTAGCAACCATTTGCAAGTACAACAGTAATAAAATATAAAATCTGACCAATGTGCTCATTTTTATTCAAAATTTGGTACATGTGGCATCAGTGCACACTTGAGTGAGAGTGACACAGGAGTAGCTGTACAAGAACTTTTCCTGAATGAGATGGCAGTAATCAATGATCTTCACAGCTTCTCTGTCTCTCCCTTCCTCCCTTCCTCCCTCCCTCCCTCCCTCCCTCAGTTTCTCTTAAAATTATGATTGGGTTCTGAGTAGGATTCTACATGATGTTTATGGTTGGGTGGAAAAGTTTGTTCATGTTGCTGAACATTTGTATGTGGAAATTTCTGTGGGTAATTTCCAACTTAGTTTTCACCCATCAGACTCCCAGTCAACCTCTCTATTGAAATGAACACATATCATTCAATTCTGCTAACAAGAATAACCTTTATTAAACATCAGCAAATATTTAAAAAAGCAGTTAATTGGTAGAAAGGGACAAAAATAGGCAAAAGAAGAGAGACGTCCTGTCTCCTTTTGACAGGCAACAATTTAGATTTTCTATATAGGTGCCTAAATATTAAAAGGCACAAACCTTCAAGAGCCACTGGAAACACTGTAGTTAATGATCATGGGCAGTCCCAAAGGAAGTGGCCTTTGGTTATTCCATCTTTAAACCTTTTATGTATATAAGGACAACAGAGTGAAGATGGAAAGTAGGATATGAAGTCATCCAGCCCTTATTCTGCAACATGAAAGAAAATTTTGTTGATTGGGATTGCATCCAACAATATATGCATTTTTGGAGAGGAATTGCTTGTGTGTGTTTGGCACTACTTATATAACTTTTGTGAATTTAGAATTGTTACCTGGGATAATTTAGGGTGTTGCCTTTATCATTAGCAGCCTGTTGTTTTGGCTTTTAGAAAATAGGAGGATGACATGCACAAGATTTTTTGTTTTGCTTTTGAGATAGATTACAAATGTTATTGTGTTATCAAAATTGTCTGAGAGTTTGATGTATATATTTATATGAGTATCACTGGAAAATATTTTGCTGTGTGGAAGACATGTTTTGGGGTTTAAGACTTAGAAGTCTATCTTGGTCATAGTTTCTTTGGTAAGTTTGCTATAAGGGCTGGAGTTGATTAATTTGCAGTTCCACTTGTTAAAAATCTGTGGTAGATGCCTACCCAAGCCTTTGGCTAGAGACACCACCCCCCTTTAAAAACCTTAAATACTGTATTGTTGAAACAATAATTGGTCATTGAATTAGATGAATCTCAGTGGAATGCCCTATATCAATATTCTTTTAGAACAATTTCATCAACTTATCAAGCAATGGTATAGAAAAAAATTCCTAAATAGCATCATCTGCATTAAAATTACATGACATCAACCTCATTTTTTCTGAATTGTGTTGGAGTTAATCATATATTTATTATTTTGTTACTATGCTCAGTTAGCCAAAGTTTTTGGTTAAAGGTTTTTGATGAAATTGTAAACATCACAACAATCTTTTAAAGTGAACCACGTAGTGTATTACTTTTTTCGACATTTTAACAAGTGCTATTTTTAAAAAATCAGTTTTAGTTGTTAATAATGATCATTCTGAAATATTGAAAAATGAAAGCATAATATCCTTAGACTGATAACAGATTCTAAAGTGTGGGAAACTGCATTGACACAAAAAATAATTCAGAAACAAAATTTAAATTTAATAATAAAAATAAATTTATCATTTATTAGATAAATATTCATTAGCTTTTTTCTTGATAGATTACTTCTACCAGCATAAATGTCATTTTTTAAGAAATATATTAAATGTGGATGATTAATTGTTATGTTCTCAACAATCTCTTAAACCCGCACACATCCACCCATATCCACACCCACAATTTCAGTATTCCCAAAGACTAAGAATATTTTTTTAATTCTTTTTTATTGTGTATTTTGTTTTTATAATTGGGGAGGGAGGGTAAGGAATAAATTATACCATAATTCTGTGCATATTTAATGTGAAAGCAATAAAAAAGTTTTCAAAATGTCTAGAGATGCCTACTCTAAAGATCTACAAGGGTTTCTTGCACTCTTTAATTTGGAAGTATACTAATTTGAAGTAATTATATCATAATAGTTCGAAGTTAAAATTACATTATGATCTTTTTGATCACTGGCTACCAGTGACAAATCCCGTCTTGTGTGACCAGAAGACTCTTCGTGCAGGACACTTTGTGCTTCTCTCTTTTTCCACTAGCCCACATTCCATTCTTCCCAAATTTTGCTCAAGAGTATTCCCCAACTTTGTAAAACAGATTTTGAGAATGTTTCAGAATGGGACCAGGGAAAGAAGGAAGGTATTTGTTTACCATGAAGAGAGAGGTAGGCCAACCCTTCTTATAAGATGCCAACCCAAGACTGAGTAATAACCACAGATGTATTATTTCAGACAAGATGCCAAGACAGATACTTGGCACACCCTGCTTTTTTTCATTCTGATTTAATGCATAGATTAAAAGCGTGCCTCCTTAAAATTAAGTCTCATTTAACATAGCAGAATTCATTTTCTTCTTTCGAAGTCTATATAGCATTGCAGCCTAAATTAATACAATAAAATAAAAAAATCAAGGCTACTACTTCTTTTTAAATGTAAGGCTAAGGCTTTTGTAGCAATGAGCCTGAGAAACCAAATGTGTGGCAAAGCCTGCAATATGGTTGCGTTGATTTGTTTGTTGGCTCTTTTAGTTGTTTATTTATTTTATTTATTATTTAAATTTATATACCGCCCTATCTCCCTTACGGGACTCAGGGCGGTGAACAGGCAAGAATAAAAATCACAGTAAATATTACATAAAAGCCTGCTCTAAAATATAAAACCACTAACAAAACCCAATCAAAACTACGCCAGGCCGGCCGCATGGAACAGATGAGTTTTCAGGGCTCGGCGGAAGAGGCGCAGGTCCGCAATTGTACGTAGGTCGGGGGGCAGGTCATTCCAGAGGGCAGGAGCTGCCACAGAGAAGGCTCTCCCCCTGGGGGTCACCAGCCGGCATTGGCTGGCCGACGGTACCCTAAGGAGGCCCTCTCTGTGGGAGCGGACTTGTCGAAGGGAGATATTTGGTAGGAGGCGGTCTTGCAAATACCTAGGTCCATTGCCATGGAGCGCTTTAAAAGTTGTTACTAACACCTTGAAGCGCACCCGGAAGGCCACTGGCAGCCAGTGCAGCTCGCGCAGGAGAGGTGTTATATGGGAGCACCTAGAGGCCCCCAAAATCCCCCGCGCAGCCGCATTCTGAACTAGCTGGAGCCTCCAGGTGCACCTCAAGGGGAGCCCCATGTAGAGAGCATTGCAATAGTCCAGGCGGGAAACAACGAGGGCTTGAGTGACCGTGCGTAGGGTGTCCCAATCCAGAAAGGGGCGCAACTGGCGTATCAGGCGAGCCTGATGAAAAGCCCCCCTGGCCACGGCCGTCACATGATCGTCTAAAGACAGCCGAGCATCCAGGAGGACGCCCAGGTTGCGGGCCCTCTCCGCGGGAGCTAATGACTCACCCCCGATAGCCAGAGATGGAACCAACTGGCTATGACGTGATGCCGGAAACCACAGCTACTCGGTCTTGGACGGGTTGAGTCGAAGCCTGTTCCTCCCCGTCCAGTTGCCAGTTATGTATGTATTATTGTTGTGTTATATGGTGTTTTTAATGCTGTTAACTGCCCAGAATCATGGATTTGGGACAGCCAGCAATAAATCAAGATAATAAATAATAGAGAAAGTACATATGGAAGAACAGGACCCTCCTTTCTTGTACCCAACTTTGGCACAAATCCAGGTAGTCCTCGACTTATGACCACACTTGAGCCCAATATTTCTGTTACTAAGTGAAACATTTGTTAACTGGATTTTGCTCCATCTTACGACTTTTCTTGTCACAACTGTTAAATGAATCACTGCAGTTGTTAATTTAGTAACCCAGTTGTTAAGTGAATCTGGTTTCCCCATGAATTTTGCTGGTGAGAAGGTCACAAAAGGGGATCACATGATCCCAGGACACTGCAACTGTCATAAGTATGAACCAGTTGCCGAGCATCTGAATTTAATTATATGTCTACAGGAATGATGCAATGCTGTAAGTGTGAAAAACAGTCATAAATCCCTTTTTCAGCAGCATTATAACTTCAAATGGTCACTAAATAAACTGTTGTAAATCGAGAACTACCTTTATGCTCTTTCCTCTGATGGATCACATGATATTGCCTTCATTATACACACAGCCTATGAGTGAGACAGCCATAACTGTTCTAGTGTTAAAGTAGTATTTTCCCCTTATTATTATACTCTCCAAGGGCAATCCTTGTCTGCTTTTTCCTTGGGAGAAATTCAGATGATTATACTGGTTTGAAGCAGAAGCCACAGAGACAGACTAAGGATTAGCAGTAGGGATAGCAAATTTCTTATCACAATAGGTTTCTGCTGATTCAGGGATGGGCAGAGAACATTTCAAATCATCTGTAGGAAAAGACCTAATGATGGCTGGATTTACATGTATGTTTGAATCTGAAATCTGGTTAGTTTAGTGCCACCCCCATACAACTTCATTCCTCATTTCATTTCTTCTATTTTGCTTGCTTGCTTGTGCTTGACTCCCTTAGCTTGAGGATGACATCGTTGTCAAGCAGAATTATTTCAGCACAATAAAAAATTTTGCACTTCAGTTGTCATCAGAAGACTGGATGATTCTAGAATTCTCTCAGCTGGGATTCATTGGTAAGAAAAAAAGGCCCTTACATAATTTTTAAAAAGGAGAAGGAGAGAAAAGCACTGTGAAATCTGGGTAACTAGTTTAACAACCCCCTCCCCGACACAAAAACAGCTTTAAAGTTACTTTCCTAATATGAAAGTATTAGTTGTAAAATTTCCCATATCATTCCTTACTAGATTAGGTAATATATAACTTGTAACAAGACCCAGGTGGTAGAAAATGGAATAATGTTATAATTATATCTGCAGTTCTTAAATAAAATGTTTAAAATTGAAGTATAAGACTGAAATGGACTTCAGTCATCTAAGCAAGTTCATCTATAGATTAAGACAAATGAAAAGCAATATTTTAAAAGCTTTCTTTATGTCTTATTTCTGCCTTTATCAAGGCCAGCAATTCAATATTTGCTCCTGAAATCTTATTTGAAGAGAAATTCTACTTTCATCGTATGTTAATATTAAACTGATACAAGTATTTGAAGATACTGGGTTTCTTTAAAAAAGAGTATGACTTTTCTAATTCTTCACTAGTATGAGCATTATAATTTCTACCATTTGGCATACTATAACCCTTTTTAAATTGACCAATGGAAACAAATTCCTTATTTGAAGAGAAATTCTACTTTCATCGTATGTTAATATTAAACTGATACAAGTATTTGAAGATACTGGGTTTCTTTAAAAAAAGAGTATGACTTTTCTAATTCTTCACTAGTATGAGCATTATAATTTCTACCATTTGGCATACATAACCCTTTTTAAATTGACCAATGGAAACAAATTCCTAATCTCCCATTCAGTAGAGGGGGGAAAAGGAATAATGACAAAAGTAGTGTTGCATCAATGTGTTGGCAGAATGAGTGTTGGCAGAACTTTTGTCAAAGTGGTATGATGCTGCATTTGGCATTTAAGAAAAAAAAGTGATTGCTATAGGTGCCTATGCTTTGACATCTGCTGAAATGAATGCAACAGTTCTTATGAATTGAGGAGGACCATCTTCACCCAATAAACCCTGCACATACACAGACTGCAAGACATGACATATAACAATTTTTAGTTCTGCAAGAAAAGTATAGAATAAAACAGGAAATATAGATGATGGATACCAGTTTTTGAGAATTTTTATCTCTAAAGGGAAAGTTTACAGCATAAATGAGAAGGTAGAGAGAAATATAACTTAACATATATTAGTTTTAATTTTATGTCTGAAAGTGAGTTCATCTAGGCAGTACTTCCATGCCCTTGTGTCTTCAGACTATCTTTTTACCAAAATGAACCTATTACCTTAAATTATTCTAATGCAAATTTAGTTTATCTGATAGTGCTACATTATATAAAAAGAACATTTTGCAGTAATTTGCTGGTTCAGATTCTAAACATCAGAGTTTTGGGTTCATACTATTTAATGAAACATTGCATTTATAGCTCAAAGTGCTCAATTATTGTTGATACATGTTATTATTTACAGGTAAAATGTTCCAGTCTCCAGATATTACACTCATTGTAGAGTTCATACTTATGTTTTATAAAGAGAAACCAATTGACTGGCTTTTGGATCACATTCTGTGGGTGAAAGTGTGCAATCCAGAGAAAGATGCAGTAAGTTGGTTTGAGAGTTTAATATTTCTGAAAAGTCTAGCTATGTGACATGATTGTAAGAAAATATATTAAGAAACTTAGTCATAGTTTTATAGCTCTTTTCTGAATTATAGTTTCTTGTAGCTAAACAACATTTAGTGTATTATGATATGTTTAAGAAGATATGATTAATGGTCCAGACATTACCAGAAAGAAATCATTTAAAGCTGTGCAAAGCTTTCAGATGGGGATTTTGAAAAGCATGATTAATATAACTGAGGTACCTTTCTTGAAATGCTAAGGAAGTACATTTTCTAGAAGGTTTGGCAAGGTAATTTCAAAAACTGTCTTTGGCTGCATGCATGTGCATATACAGACGGCAATTCTCTGAGACTGCCAGAAAAACAAGACAGCTCTGTGTGCAAGTATCTGTAGTCACAACCATGAACATTTTAAAGCAATCACACCAAACTTTGCAGAAGACCTAGAGTAAAGAGGGATGCTTTACTTATGCTAGCATACTGTATTTTGCAAAACACCCCTTTAGAAAGCTTTGCACGGCCCTACTATACACATACTACAGAGGCCAAGTACTATAAAGACTGCATTATATCCTAAAATATTTCAACTTCTCCAGCTGTGCCCCAGTAGAAGGCATGCCTTCTGCAAATAGTCAGCAGAGAATATCCTGTCTGATGTTTGAACACACATGGCTGGGGGAGGGGAGGGGAGGGAATCTACCTGAATCTACTTAGGGATAAACATGCATTTGTGTACAGGTATCCCCTTTCCCCAAATGTAGACTCCTTACTACCACCATGCTTCCTGGCTTATAGATTGAAAGCTGCACCAGTTGAAGTATTTACCGTGTTGAGGATGCCTAATTAATATATTTTGCCTAGGCCAGGTTTTATATAACTCGGGTGGGGAACGATGGCCATTTTATGACTTGTGGACTTCAACTCCCAGAATTCCACAAGCCATAAAAGGGCCATCGTTCGCCACCCCTGATGTAACAGAAAAACTAGTCAGCAAAGAATTTCTGTTCTTATTCAGAGACTGGCATAATTTTCATAATTGCAATAATAACCATTCTCTTGAAAATGGCGTAGACTTTTCTCTACACTCTAGGCAAGGTACTCTTCTTCCATCTGTCTTTCAAGGACAGGAGAAAATGTTGTTTGGAAAACCACTTCCTCATAGTGCTCCTCTTGTTGTGTCTTTAACAAGGCTGATAGATCAAATTGACCTTGTGTGGAACTGTGGTTAGCTGCTACTGCTGCTGCTATTGAAGTGAGGAGCAGGAAAGGACAGACAATTCTTCACTGTCTAACTCTCTTTGCCAGTCTTTGGGGATGCTCTGCTTCCCTTGTTCCTTCCCTTGCCTGCACTTTTGTAGGAAAATGCTGTCCTGTTAGCAGCGGTAGCAAGGTGGAAGGGGCATGGAGCAGAAGTCTTCTCAATTCCATTTCTGCAAAATCAAGCCAGAATTCCTTTTAAATGATCCAGGGAGCAATTCAGACTCAGAAGCTAGAGGGAGAGGTAAAGCAAGAATGCCCTTCAAAGGGAAAAAGGTTACTTATAAATCCCTCAGATCTTTTCCATTGCAAAGAGCAAAAGAGTTGCTTCTGCAATGTGGGGCATGCACAGATAAGGAATACAATTTCCCTTACATTAAACCCAACTGCTAGGGACTTCCATTAAATTCATGCTAGTTATAATAATAATAATAATGATAAAGTTGGAAGGGACCTTGGAGGTCATCTAGTCCAACCTCCTGCTCAGGCAGGAAACCCTATACCATTTTGGACAAATGGCTGTCCAGTTTATTCTTAAAAACTTCCAGTGTTGGTGCATTCACCGCTTCTGGAGGCAGGTTGTTCCACTGGTTAATTGTTCTAACTGTCAGGAAGTTTCTCCTTAGTTCTAGGTTGCTTCTCTCTTTGATTAGTTTCCGTCCATTGCTTCTTGTCCTGCCTTCAGGTGCTTTGGAGAATAGCCTGACTCCCTCTTCTTTGTAGCAGCCCCTAAGATATTGGAACAGAAGTGATTTGCCATTGTCCTTTTTTTGGGTTGCTTTTTAACCCAAAATAGATAACCTTGCAAACCAGGAGTGGTTTTTGAATGGTTGCAAAGTTCATGTGTGGAAATGTTGGCTGTATACCTTATATATATCAGATATATCAGATATATATGTGTATGAGATATATCAATATGAGATATACTGGTATATATATCGATATGAGAAAATTATTGAAAGAAGACAACAATAGGCAAAGGAGTTTTTACTAAAATCAGAAATATTAATTTTTGTCGAATTTTAGTTTTCAGACCAAATCATAATAAGAATGATGCCTAATATATTATATATTATATATAATATATATATATGATGCCTAATATATTATATATTACTGTATTGGGCATGACATTTTTATTTTTTATTTTAATTAAATGCATTTCAAATAGCAGAGTGACATAGCAGATTGCAGAAGTAAAAGTTGCAATTGGAAAATATATTTTTCTCAGAATTTAGAAATCCTAGCAGCTGTGAGAGATGAATGATAAACTATTCACCACTTCCTATATAATCACTTACTAAAGTTCCGATGACTGAATTTTTGTAGTGGTGGGAATACATTATTTTATTCTGAATGAAATCATGTCTGCTATATATAAACGAGGTAAGAATGCAATAAATGGTCCAGATAGCCAGTTTTTAAGCCATGTATGATGATGATGTGTCTTATGCTAAATAAGATTTTCCACCATTTTGTTAAAGAAACATTGTGATCGCCAGAAATCAAATCTCAGAATACGGTTCAGACCTTCACTTTTTCAGCATGTGGGTCTACACTCTTCCCTAGAAGGAAAGATTCAAAAACTCACAGTGAGTATTGATAGAAGGCAACATATACATACACCAATTTTTGGAAACATGTTTATTAATCAATCTTAATTAAGAAATACATATTCCTTAAATATATGTTTCTTAACTATATGCTGTATTTAAATACAATTGCCACAAAATCTGAGTATAATTTTCTCATTAAGTGAGACATCAAATGACTATGACTTCCTCATTATCCATTAACTGTTTGTCACAAATCAGTTGGGAAGCATGGCTATAAGTGCTAATAGGTTGCCAGGCATCCAGATCATGATCATATGACTACATCTAGAAATCCCTAAAAGTCACCACAAGATTTTCCTTTCCTTTCCTTTCTCTTTCTGGAAGTCCTGGTCAAGCCAGTGATTTAATTTATACTGATCAATTGATAATTCTGTTAGAGTGCATGTTAACTAGAATCTGTTGCCAAATCTGAATGAGAGACACATAGTGCTTAGGTATGGGGTCATGATGGGGAGATGATATTATTTCAAGATGTACCATTTTTAGATGAGAAGAGTTGAGAAGCTCTTTTAATTCCATACTCATTCTCATTGATCATCTTATACATCCTGAGCATTGCACCACATGCAATGGATCCAATAGACAGGGAATATCAGTCAGTTCTCTTATCTAAATGAAGAGACAGTGTCATTGGTAGATGATCACAGTCAGAAGCACTAACTGTTGTATGGTCTCTTAGGAAGTTCACAAGTCCTCAAGCAAGGGGCGTATCATCTATGGTGCTCGATTGTTCTGTCCCTAGGGGCAACACCATTTAGGATATGTAAACTCAGGCTGTTAAAGCATTTTGCAATACAAAAACCTGTGAAGTTAGATTTTGGACATTGGATTGGTGGCTCTCCAGCAGTGGAGGCAAAATATCTCTGAAGGATATTTATGAGGTTTGAATAGCAATAGCAATAGCACTTACTTATATACCGCTTCATAGTGCTTAACAGTCCTCCCTAAGTGGTTTACAGAGTAAGCACATTGCCCCCAACAATCTTGAGTTCTCATTTTACTGACCTCGGAAGGATGGAAAGCTGAGTCAACTTTGAGCTGGTCAAGATCGAACTGCTGGCAGTCAGCAGTAATAGCCTGCAGTACTGCATTCTAACCACTGTACCACCACGGCTCTAAAGGGCCTAATCATTGTGCCAAGTCTTGCATTAAAATCTCCTACAATTATTATTATTATTACATTTATATGCCAGCCACCTTATGGTTCAAGGCGACTCTGAGATCTACTTGTGGGTAAGTTATCATTAACTTGAATTAGTAGTTTTCTAAGCATTGCCATATTTCTTTACATTGAGCCTGAACTTTTCAGGGGAATAAATACACATTTATCTTCAGAAATGAACAGTGTTTAAACTTTACCAAGGTTGATGTTGCAATATTCCTAAGTGACCAACTCAGTGCAACATATTTTCAATTTGGTAGAAATTAATATAGTCAAGCCTCACTTTGCCTCCCTTTTGGTGCAGAAGCAACGGCATCCAGTGAGGTTATGTGACAGCTGTCTTGTGTCTCCTATCTTCTCCTGTGTATGGTTTCTTCATTTGGGTTATTAAATATTCAGAAATGTTAGGCTGCTTTGGTGGCTTTAAAAGAGCTGACAGTCTTGAATTTATTCTGTGTCACTTCCTTCTTTTACTTATTTTCTTGCCAACTCTTGATTGTTTTCACAATAGTACAGACAGTCCTTGACTTACAACCACAACTGGAGCCGGAATTTCCATTCCTAAGCAATGAGGTTGCTGTGTGAGTCGCGCCTGATTTTATAATTCTTTTTGCCATGGTGGTTAATGAATCCCTGCAGTTATTAAGTGAACCATGGCATTAAATTAATTCAGCTTCCCCTATTAACTTTGCTTTTTGGAAGCCAGCTGGAAAGATTGCAAATGGCACTCACCTAACCCTGGGACGCTGCAGCCTTTGTAAATGCATCCCTGTTGCCGAGCGCCTGCATTTTGATCCTGTGACCCTCAGGGTGATGCGATCATTGTAAGTGTGATAATTGGTTTGAAATCACTTTTTTCAGTGCTACTGGAATTTCAAATGAAGAATTCCTAAATGAATGGTTGTAAGTCTAGGATTACCTGCAGGTATAGGAGGTTGTTTCTCATGCAATAAATAAAACCATCCAGAACTGTTATTGCTGACTGTAACATTCCATAGATTGAAAATAAAAATAGTTTAAAAGCAAACATAAGGTAAACAAAACTTAAAAATGGAAAATTTATAAAATTTATAAACAGGAGAGTTTGTAGGAAGGTGCTGTCATCTCGCCGTGCCCTCCCCCACATTTTCCTATACGTTATGGAACAAAATATGTAGTACTTAGGGGAACTTTTCACTACAATTTTATCTAAGTGAAATGTGTCATGGAAAATTGTCACAAATGATTTTTATCAAGAGAAATGTACTAACCTTGAAAACTACAGGAAATATATTTACTGTCCTATACATCTATACTTTGTTGTTGCTGTTGTTGTTGTTCACACTTAGCATTATATCTTGTCATTCTTTTGTAGGATAAAGACTTCCTGAAACCATTATTGCATAAAATTCATGTGAATCCGCCAGCAGAGGTTTCTACAACATTAAAGGTCTACCAAGGGCATGCTCTTGAAAAAGCCTACATGGGTGAAGACTTTTTTTGGGCTATCACACCAGTTGCTGGAGATTATATCTTGTTTAAATTTGACAAGCCAGTTAATGTAGAAAGGTAACTGTTTTCATTTTAATATGAAACATCTCCTGAGCTGAAGGTGTTAATATCTTCTGGTAGTAAATTAAACAGTGAAAACACTACAAGTAGCCCTTGACCACAACTGAGACTCAAATTTCCATAGCTAAGCAGGGCAGTTAAGTGATTTGTGCTTCATCTGATTATTCTGTTATGGCCTTTTTTGCCACAGTTGTTAAGCGAGTCACTGCAGTTGGTAAGTCAATCATGCAGTCTTAAGCAAATCTGTCTTCCCCCATTGACTTTGCTTGTTGGAAGTTGGCTGGGAAGGTTACAAATAGTGATCACTTGACCCTGGGACAGTGTAACTGTCATCAATACATGCCAGTTGTCAACCGTTCAAATTGTGATCACATGGCCATGGGAAGGCTGCAGTGGTTGTAAGTATGAACACTGGTTATAAGTAACTTTTGAGTGCTGTTTTAACTTTGAATGGTCATTAAATGAATAGTTGTAAGTCAAGGACTATTTGTAGTTTCCTAAAGTACCTAGAATGAATAGATTACTATTTGGGGAGAGAATTCAAAAATAAGAAACTGATAGAAAGGGGTTAAAAAATCTGCTAAATTAGATAGATTACAAGTAGACCTCAAGTTACAATAGTCCATTTAGTGACTTATGACAGTTTTTCACACGACCGTTGTGGCATTCCCATAGTCACATGATCAAAATTTAGATGCTTGGCAACTGACTCATATTTATGATGGTTGCAGTGTCCTGGAGTCATGTGATCATCTTTTGGGACCTTCTGACAAGTACAGTCAATGGGGAAACCAGGTTCACTTAACAACTGTGTTACCAAATTAACAACTGCAGTGATTCACTTAACAACTATGGAAGAAAGATCGCAAAAGAGGGCAAAATCCACTTAATATATGTCTCACTTAGCAACAGAAATGTGGGGCTCAATTGTAGTTGTAAATCAAGGACTACCTTACTGCAGGAATGTAAGAAGCAGCAGGAATCCCTGAAATCAGTGAGCATCTTCCCTGAATGGAAGAATTTGCATTGAAAAGATATCTGCTTAGAAATAATAGAAAATATTAAGATATCTGCTTAATTTTAGAAAGTTTTCATCTTTCTCATCCTCCACTGCCACAGCAAGATACCTTTGTGTTGCATTTTCAACACAGGGAGTGAGGATGCTAATTTTAACCAGTCTTGTTTCATCTATTACTGGATATTTAGTTTGAAATGATGGTAGCTCAATATTTAGTTGTATATATTTAAAAATGAAGTTTGCAATTAGGGCTTATTGTCATGCAACTTATATTCTTGCAATGAAGTATGAGGGCAATTTGGAACTAAACCTCCGTTTGGTTATCAATGACAGACACTTGCAGATACAGAGATTTTATTATACACTACAACATTACATTACTTTTCAACATAATCGCCATTCAAATTGAGGCACTTGTCATAACGTCTTACAAGGTTTGAAATTCCTTAGTAGTAGTCGCTAGATGCCAAATCTGGGTTATGGGGGGGGGTGATCAAAAACATTCCAACGGAACTGCTTCAAAGTTCTTGGGTGCATCTAGCAGTGTGTGGGTGAACATTATTGTGAACCAACACCACACCGGAAGTCAGCATGCCCCGACGCTTGTTATGGATGGCTCGTCTGAGTTTTTGTAACATTTCACAGTAGACTTCTGAACTGATGGTCGAACCACGCTCCATGAACCTCACTAGCAGTACTCTTTTGGCATCTTCATATTTGATGGGATTTTCTATGGCACCACTTCCAATGTGGTGTTGGTTCATGATAATGCTCTCTTGCAGACCGCTAGAAGCACCCAAGAACTTTTGAAGCAGTTCCGTTGGAATGTTTTTGATTACCCCCCCATAGCCCAGATTTGCCAGTGAGTGACTACTACTAAGGAATTTCAAACCTTGTAAGACGTTATGACAAGCGACTCAATTTGAATGGCAATTATGTTAAAAAGTAATGTAATGTTGTAGTTTTCTAATGTGTATAATAAAAGTTCTGTATCTGCAAGTGTCTGTCATTGATAATCAAACGGATGTTTGTTTCTGAATTGCCCTCATATTTATGCTAGAAAATATATTAAAATATTAAACTGGATATAAAATGAAATGATTTACACATTAATTGCTCTGCGACTTTTAAGTGAATTTTGCATTGTTATGTAGTATTTATACATAGCTCTGGAAATATTTATTCTATTACATATGTATGAAATACCTTTTTACACATAATGGTATATACAAAGCGTATAAAAGTAATGAACTGAAGTGACAATAAACTCTTTAAGATCCATTGTGTAGAATCCCTCACTGATTTAATATGTATGCATTCACATAACATCTTTATGATTATGCTTACATGATGAGGAACAAGAATCTATAATTCTGAAAATATCATATGAAACATGACTACCATAAATTTTCTGTTGTTTGGAAATGATTTGACTGACATTTTGTTTTTAGTTGCTAGTATGAAAAGATGGCGTAGCATTTATTTTAATTTCAAATGTATTGGATCAGACCATCAGAGAAATTCTATAATTTAGTCTGTTATTTTTATTGTTTACATAAAATTATACAGACCTTCAGGATGGGTTTCCAAAATATAGTGCAGTTTTTTAAAAAGATAATTCTTTAGCCCACACTAAACACTTGATGGAGTAGTGAATGTAGCCTGGCTCAGTAATAATAATCCAGAAAAACTTCAAAATTATGTTTAGAATTATTGTGACTGAACAGTGGTGAACCACATCATCTACGCTATTCTTCTTCTCTGTCATTCAGTGAACAAGAGCTTCATTTTTCTCTTTTAATTAACAGTTTCTTGCTGGTTACAAGAACATTGCACAGCTAAAAAAATCAGCATGGAGTAGTGAGAAAAAAAGATCTTCCCAGTTGATATCAGAGATGGATAGACAGTTATAAGCTGTGTACTTGAAGATGCTGCCACCAAAGGGGGCAATACCATGTATTAGAGCTAAGGGCATACTTACTTTTTCCACTGTAAATAAATAAATACTTATCAATTCTTCATATTTATTTTTGTTCAAGTACATCACCATTATTTTTAAAGATAAAATATTGATATGTCCACATATTTAAAAAAAACATTTACATGAAATGTATTTCCTTTTTCAAATAACTGTAGGTCCTGGGGGTTGCTAGATGCTTGGCAAGTAGTACTAAGAGGAGCAGTAGTTTCTTCAATATTGCAATCACTTGAAAAACAGTAACTGTGTTAATACTGGTAGAAACCTTTCTAGAGTAGCACAGTAATTTGGTTGGAATTATATAATAAAGTGGCTGCTTTAAGCAAATATTAAATACACTAATATGAATGAAGGAGGATTTGCAAATTGTGTAATTTATATAGCTGCCCTTTTCTGTCAATTATTCTGGACGACTTACAATTCAATATGGCCTTTAACTAGATTCTCAGCAAAGAAATGGAACAAAAAGTCTTCTGAGCTTGTATAGTTATAACTGAAATTCTGCTAGTTATCTTTTTTAGATATTACTTAAGGGCATTTGAGTCACGCACCTATTTGAAACTATCCATAATGAATTGTTTGCAACATCAGTTTTGAACATTATGTTTTGTTCTTGATCCTTGATAACGATTCTTTGCATATTATCTGAAAGTAAACTCTTCAATAGATAGAATTGGATATATATGGGTAACTTGTGATTGTTTTCCCAATTTGTTTTTCTTTATTGTTTTCCATGATATAGATTCCTGTTCCATAGTGGCAATCCAGAACATCCAGGGGATATATTGGTCAATACAACTGTGGACATATTACCTCTTAAGGTATGATAATAGTCTATTTTTTCTTCCTTTCTATGAGTGTAACAGCAAATACAAGTATTTAGCAACCACAATTGGGACCAGAACTCGATTGCTAAATAGCGCAGTCACTAAGTTGGAAAAATCACGTGACCACGACTGTTCTTATTATTTTATTTCAGCTTCCTTTTTCTCCTACTACCAAGCTGAATGCTTACTGCAACACTGGATAATTAGAAAGAACATAATTAATGTTTGTATTGCATTCGCTGCAGAAGGGATTATAAGAGAGTAAGCAGGAACACTCTTTTATTAATACTAGGGATTACAGTGACTGTTTGCCTTGCGTGCTCAAGGCTGAGAATTTACAGATAATCACTTCCTGCAATAACTGAGTCTGGAATCACCAGCATTTCTTTTTATCCCACTCTTTAAAAATAAGCCTGGACTTCGTGAGCTGAAGGCATTCCCCCCCCCCCCCGCCTCCAGAACAGGACTTGTTTAAATATTATTAGAGCATCACCAATAAACCTGACTTTAGTTATTAAACTAAATCTTCCTGTATCTCTTTCACCACAGGCCATGCTGGAAGTTTTGTAATTCAGCAACAGCTGATAGATGATAGGTTTTCCATCTTTCTTCAGAATGCTGAGCAATGGTAGAACCAAAGAGGAAAGGTGTATTGGACTGCATGCCTTACAGATGATTAAAAATAATATTTAAATTATCTAAAATTCTTAACTTGTAAAATTTCAATTCTGTGCTGTCTTGGGGTTTATTTATCAATAAATATATTTAGTATTGGATTACAACAACTTTTTATAGGAGTTGAGTTAGGTTTCAAAGAGGAATATAAGGTGATCAATACATAAATGCCATTACTGAACATTCCAGAGATAAGTGAGAGACAAGGCAAAATCACATCATGCATTTTATGTTAAAATAAGTTGTATATATGTAAATAAAAGGATGTAGCATATCATTATCTTTTAGGAATATTGTTTCATTTCCTGGTATCGACCAACCATGGCCTCTTGGGAGGGGCCAGTCCAGTCTTGTTGGCTTCCAGTGTATTATGAAGTGGGGATGAGGGGAAGAATTGTGAATTTGCTATTCATTAGCATGTTATTATTTGTTAAACAATTAATTAAATCCTTTATCAATGAGATGATAATATTTTATATCTCATTTTTCAGAATAAAGAGCTGTTATTAAGCAAAGAAACCAAAGAGAAACGGTTAGAAGATGGTTATTTCAGAATAGGTAACTAACACTACAGTTCTGTTTTATAGACATTTGAATACAAAACTTAAGTAATTCAAGTTGTGGCTCATTTTGCATTACTATTGATCTAGTAGCATACTAATCAAGTTCAGGTGACAGAATTTCATGAACTAATGTTAGATTAAGGTATTTGAGCAGCCAATATGGTGTTGGCATTATCACAAAAGAAGAAGGTGTGCTGTGACACATTTGAACTCAGTTCTAGAAAAAAAAATGCAACCAACTAATTATGGATTCTGAAGTCTGCATCACTTAAATGTTTTTTATGGTAGTATAGCATTTCAGAATTTATTCCAAAGTGGTACCTTGGAGTCCATAGGAGAACATATGTAGTGTCTCCTTAAAGCAGCCATCTGGCTTTGTGAAAATATACAGCAGCATTAAAGAATTTGAGTCAAATGCTATTTGCACTCTTCATGTTCTCTGAAGGCCTTTTTTGAAATTGTTCATTTTCCAGCTAAATGAAGTGACCATACTATTTTCATTTGGTAGAATAAATAAGATGGCAGATGAAAATTTTGACTTTTTCATATTGTCCATAAAATCCAGGTTTCGTAATCTATTTGTGTAAAATGAATAGGATTACATGTAAGTGATTTGTATTTGCTGAGTGTATAATTATTTAGAATTATTTTTGCTTTTAAAGGCAAATTTGAAAATGGCAGAGCAGAAGGAATAGTCAGTCCCAATTTAAATCCAATTACAGCTGTCCGGCTGTTCGTCATACAAAATTCATCTGTCTGGGCAATTATAAATGAGGTAAGAGTTAAACAGGATGCTTAATAATTAGAATATTTGCCTTCAAACATTTAAATTCTTAAGTTTCTTATATTAAATATCATGATATCTTAAATCTTTGGGGCTATTCTGAATATTTCTCCTTTATAAAAATGTAGCTGCTGTGCAGTAAAGAGGAATATTAATGCTATTACTGCAAAATTCAGCATAGTTTGATTTTTTGCATTTTACAGCACTTGTATATTCTTGACTTCCTGCAACAGACTGGATACTCTAGTGCAGTGATGGCAAACCTTTTAGAGACCGAGTGCCCAAACTGCAACCCAAAACCCACTTATGCATCGTCGAGTGCCAGGTGGGCGTGGCCCATTGGGTGGCCGTGGCCCATTGGGTGGGGGTGGCTGCCGTGGTAACGGCAGACTGAGTGGGACTAAAAAGTTCAATCAATCAATTCCAACTTTGCGAGATCTTTTTTTCCCCCGCGAGAAGTTGAAATTGATTAATTGAACCTTTTTTTTTTTTTTTGCACATGGTGATGGGAGTCCTAAAGCGAAAAGGTCTTATAAAACCCAGCTGAAGGCCTAGGACTGGGGCGACGGTGCGCGTGCCCACAGAGAGGGCTCTGAGTGCCGCCTCTGGCACCCGTGCCATAGGTTCGCCACCACTGCTCTAGTGGTATGAGTTGAGTTAGATCCAAAAATGTCCTATTTGTTGTTTTTCCAATTTTCCTAGCTCCAATTTTCCTAGCTTTTTTCTAATTTTCCTAGTTATTCAGAAGGTTCTCCAGTTGCTGAGATCTGATTTCTAAGAATAGCAGAGGAAAGAAATTCATTTCTTCTGTTATCAAGTGCCAGAGTGCTTTCTATCAATATATTCTGCTCATGGAATCTTTGAGCTAGTCCATTGTAATAGACAGTTCAGAAAACCTTTTATAGTAACCAAGCATGTCAAGTTTGTCAGTTTGCCGGGGTCCTAATGACTTAGATCAGACTTGCCAAATCCGGTGTGCTGTCATATAAGTTCTATACATTTAAAATTCATTTTGGGAAAAACTGGCTTAGAGAAATTGTGGTTAGTAGTAATATAACAAATAACTATTTCATACCTTATAATAGAAAAGAGGCAGTTTCTGTTTCTCCTTTATCTTTCAGTAGTAATGGCCATAGAGATGTATTAAACAATATCTCTCAGCAACCTCTTTCATCATGTCTTCTGATAACAAGATACTGTAAATTTTGATCTAGGAGTTCATCCCATCTCTGGTTAGCAGGCATTCTTGTCTCAAAATGCATATAAAAGCACATTCAAAAAAGTGATTTTGTTGTGTTCTCCCAAACATTTGTTAAATATTACAATAACTTGATTACACTACACTGAAAAGCATATGATCTATGTTTGCTTAAGCGTTTGGCTGTTTATTGGGGACCATCAGACATTTTTCAATTCTGCATTACAGATTCATATTAAAAAACTCCCTAATTGATCAATATTGAAGAAGTAAGAAGATAATATTTTGAACACTTTTGCAAAATCATCCAAACTGCAGAAGGAAGATATTGAGTATGCACCTTATTTCAACTCAATTTTCTCACTGAAACACTACCTCCCGTGAATTCTACTGTAATTGAGAATATCGACTCGGCAAGAGGGATTAATTACAGTGTAGAAACTGATATTCACCTGGCATTCTTTATCTTGATTAATAATTTGAACATGACTTTGGTTGGCTAGAGATAAATACTCCTTGGTCTATCCAGTGGTGATGGGTAATTACAAGAAAAGGTGTACATATTGTTACATTCCTTGGAAATGAGAAAAATGTGTTAAAATACATTTTATGAAGAGGGTACTTTTTGAAAGTCCATTTATTTTGTTATTGAAAACCCTCTTTTATAGATTATCAGGGATATATATTCAAAAAATTTAGGGTATTTAATTTATTAAATAATTTGAAAAGTACATATTTTTATGCCAATAATAACTTGATTAAGTTTTTTAATGTATTACCTTACTTCTTGAGTTAACTCTACATTTTACTTGGTTAATAGTCATATTTTGTAATATATTGTCATGGTTAGAAGAGTTAAACTGAATTTGCCAATGAAGCACTTTTGTATCATGCCAGATTCTCCTGCACAAATCCCACCGAAATAAGAAGGGTTTCCACAGAAGAACATCCTCATGAGAGGTTCACAGAATCAAGGATATGGTGTTCAAAGATACAAACATGGCATGCAAGAACTTTGAAGAACATTACCTATGATTTTCACAGCCTTGGAATTAAGGAATTTTATATTTCAATAGAGTGAATGAAGTCTGCAGCAATTTAAAGTTTGAATCATTACCCATTAAAGGGGTACTTTGATAACAGGTTGTTCTTTTTTAATCTTTGTAAAGTTTTCTTCAATGCAATCAACCAAGTTGCTCCTTTGGATAGCAATGCCTTCTGAAATCAACTTTTTTTGGTTTTGCAACCCCTTTTCAATGAACTCTGCTCAGTGCTTTTGAATGATTTAATTTAGCATTATGTTAGGGATAATGGAACAGATACACAGTAACCTCAGCTGAGCTTTTATAATTGTAACTTTGTCAGTCCTTAAATGTGGAAGTGATTTCTATTTCTTAAGATCCAGCTTCTGCTTAAAATTAGCATTGCACTCCAACTGACTGAAGCAAGGCTTCTGTGATCTAAATGCTTCTTTTCTTTTATATTTCAAAGAAAAAAGATGTTTGCTTGGTCAGTAGCCTTGAAAAGAGGCAATTCAAGCACTTTGTGCTCTGTAGCACAGAAAACATGCAATAGTAAAGTAATAATAGTAACAAAACTTTTTTTCTTATCTAACTCCAGCCAAGTTATGAAAACCAAGGCTTTTTTTTTAGTTCTGTGACTCACGCAGGTAAATTAAATCTTCAATAGTGGTAGCTTGTGTTGTGAATTAATTCTTAGATATTTCTGTGTCTCAGATGTAAGTTTTTGCCAAAAATCAGTGTCTCTCTTGCCTTCTATAGAAATTATTTGTAAGGAATTGAAGGGATTGGATATCTATTTTCTATTTGAGTCTAACCGCTTCTAAAGAAAAAAAAGATCACAGTATGAAAAAATACTTGAATTGTTTCAAATTATTAAAGACTTGAGATTGCTTTGATTTTAAATAGATGGGATCCTATATTTATGAAATAGTTTTGCTCAAATTCTTTGTTGGTTGGGGACATATTCATACAAAAGTGCTTATATGACATACTAGCTAAGTTATAAATTTGAATATTACTTCCATAAAAGTAATGGATGGCCTGTACTGATTCTAAAATGAAAGGAATAGTAATAATGGCCTATTTTACGGACATATAATAAACTAATGCAGAACTCTGATTCCTAAATGTTCAATACATCTTAAATGTTAAACTTATTTTTAGATAACCTGTAAGCTGCCTGTAATATTGAACACTAATTGAATGTGCATTTAATATTGACATGCCACATTGAGGTGGGTGCGTGGTATAAGGGATATTTATGATAAACTTAATAATGATAATCAAGATTAATGTTTTCCTACACAAAAATAAGGTTGGGTAGGAAAAGCACAGAGAATTGGTGAGAAACTGTTCAAAATATGTACCTTTTTTATATAGAAAAGGGAATAATATATATAAAAATATTCATTTCCGTATTTTAATTTTGCTATGAACAAGTTGTAAAGCTATATAATCACTTGTCCTAGCTCTCAAGCTAACATAGCAGATCAGTGATTTATGAGTCTCTGCCACATAAATGTGAGATTTTCTATCCCTAGCAGCTTATTCCATTGCAGTTTATGCAGGTTTATTAACCTTTTATATTTAATTTAAAAATTAGTCTGAACCTTAGATCTAAATGTAATTTGCTGTTCTCTTCCAAAGACCAATAGATCACTTCCTCCCATTGAATGTATGGTCTTTGGGGAAAGCAAAATCACTAGCCAATTGATTTAACAGTAAACTAGAAATCAAAAGTGATCTTCTCCAATGCAACTTTAGGTATGCTTAGTCAGATGCAATATTCCCTGTGTTCAGTAGTATTCTACTGTGCAGTATTAGTAATATTTAAATTCTTAACTTTAATTCTTGAAACCTCTATAGATACCTGTCTTAGGTATAAACCATTCCATGTAATAAAGAATTGCACAGATAAGGAGGTACACTAGCAAAATGTTCTTGTGTTGCCAATTGGAAATGAGAAAAAGTAGTAAATATCAATTCTTTATACTGCCAGCTTTAAAGATCCAACAGGCTTAGGATAAATCAGGTAAGAACACCCATCTCCCAAAGCAATTGGCCAGTTGTATAAGAATATCTAAATCAGGGGTTCCCAACCGGGGGTGCTCGCACTGCCTGGGGGTGCAAGACAATATTCCAGGGGGTGCGAAAACTTGGGTTTTCAAAATTATAGTGTATGTACATAATTTATTGCTGTTATTTCAAACCTTTGTAAGAGGTGCGAGAATATATCAGAAGCATTCTAGGGGTGCAGGGTATAAAAAAGGTAGCGAGCTGCTGATCTAAATGGACTAATAAACTTTTTGTTGATTAATGCCCTGATGAAGAAAAGAGTTGTGTACAATTAACCACCATTTGAGCTATAGTAATAGAATTTCCTTAATGGTATTGTCCTAGCATAATTCTAAGTACATTCAGTTAATCTGATGGTGTAATAGAGATTATTTAAAAAAATCACTTCAAATGCTTTCTTTTATTTTCTAATGGAAGATTTAGATTGTTGTTTTGTAAGTATAACAGTGAGAGAGGCAATATAGTGATTAAGGCATTAGACTAGAAACTGGGAGACCCTGCCTTATGCATGAAGTCAGATGAGTGATTTTGGGACAGTCCCCCTCTCAATCTAGGAAGGAGGCAATAACAAACCACTTCTGAAATCCTGCCAAGAAAACGGCAAAGAATTGTCCAGGAAATTACCAGGGGTCAGAATAATACTGACTTGAAGGCTAGATGCAACCCCCCCCAAAAAAAACCCCAAACCAATATGCATTGAGTTGGTGCTTAAATAATTTCACTGAATGGAATATGCAAAAAGCTTATTGCTTTTCAATAACAACATACATGAATAGTTCATCAGAACATGAATGCAACTATAAAGAATGTGTTACAGAGTCTCAATGTAAAATCACAATTGGGACCAGAATTTCTGTTGCTAAAAAAGGCAGTGGTAAAGTGGATCATGCCTAATTTTATAACTTTTTTTGCCACAGTTAAGCAAATCACTGCAGTTGTAAAGTGAATCCATCTTCCCCCACTGACTGCTTGTCAGAAGCCGGCTGGGAAGGCTGCAAATGGTGATCACCTGACCCCAGGAGGCTGCAACCATCGTAAATATATGCCAGTTGCCACATTCATCTGTGAATGTGTGGATGCTGCAACGGTTGCAAGTGTGAGGACCAATTATAAGTAACTTTTTTCACTGCCATTGTAACTTCAAACAGTTATTCAACGAGTGGTTGCAGGTCAAGGATTATATGTCACTAGGTTGCTGGAAAGTAGGTTCAGTAGAAAATTCTCAGTTCGTGACATAACAAAAAAGTATATCCTGATAGTTTAGAGTAGATAATAACTTGTGAAACACATGCTCTAGCATCTGCTCAACCAGAATTTTTTTTTAAAAAATTCTGAATTTCTAAAATGGGAATCTAATACATGGTACTAGGCTTATTTTTAATTCAAAAAATAGTTCACAAGTTTTCTAATAAAATGTGTGGCAACTGCCCAGAATTTTGTTTAGAAGAATGCCTGGAAGGTAACATAGAATCTGTACTTTGCCATAGGTTTTTTTCCTCTCATACTAGCCATTTTGAGAGTAGGCCAGAGCTATTCCCAGATTTTATTGTGTTCGGGTTGTGATACATTCTCAGCTTTCTAAATATACCCATCATCCCAAAGCAGTTGCAAATTCCTGATATATCTTTTCTTATATTTTCTACTGGCATTCATATTTTCTTAATATAAATGCAGCTGAAATAAATGTTCAAGATGCTAGCATTCTTTATTTTACTGAAATATTAAATCTTAGCAGTTGATAATTCAGCAGTTATTTTTAAAATATTAATAGAAGGTGTCTGGATATTTCTGGTGCTCAAAAAATCCCCATTTTTTTAAAGGAGCTTTTGAATGTTTTTTTCCCCTAAAGCTTTTGAAATTCTTCCTGCAAAAGTACAAATCATGCCCCTTCTTGCCTATTAGGTCTCAAATTCAGTCTACTTCCTCCTTCTGGGGAAAAGAACTTGTATATTACTTGAATTATGGTGTTTTGAAGATGCTATTTTGACTGTCAGTAGAAACCAATTTACTGGTTTAAAACATTTAGAGTTGCCCAACTCCTTTGTTTGACTCTGTCAGCTTTCTAGTTGTGTCTCTGTTCTTATGCTTGTGAATCCTTCATCCTACAGCCAGGTTCCTTGGCATTCTCCATGATGTGATTAATTCCTTGTAAAACCTTTTTTAGAGCTAGACTTCAGTATTGTTAATTTTGCTGCTACATTTGAAAATCTAACTGGGTCATGTTAATTGTGCCTTTCATCAGTGCGCTATGTGCCACACGCTGCCCGTGTACTATTTGAAATAAATATTTTTAAAAACTGCATTCTGGAGTTTTAACTAGAAAAACAATTGGAAAGTTTTGCAGAAGGACTGGAAGTATTTGTATTAGATACCCTAAATACTACTGGAAACACTTGTGTACATAAAATCTACAAAAATGTTTTTTATATGCAATAGTTTTAAAAGATATATATATATATATATATAGAACCAGCATAATTTCAGCTGACATACAATGGGTATCTTAGAATAGTTTACTTTTTAATTTTCTGAGGTGGGATAATGATTAGGGAAAGAAGATGGAAAAGAAAAACACAACGACATAGTACTCTTCCTGATATGCAGTAATATATCCCTATTTTTCCCCCCTTGTTTTCATTTTCACAATTTGATAGTTGTACGCTGCCCAGATTTGTTTTTTGGGAAGCTATGCAAATTTGATCAATAAATAAATACTCTTTTTATTCAGTTTTCCACTTTTCTCATTTCTCCCCCTGAAAACTATTAGTACATATTATTTGTATATACTATATTCTTCCTCATAAGAGTGATGTCACATACCACTTCACTGACCATTCAGTAGAGTTTACATATTAATCTGAGTACCCTACATATTAATCGCTAAAGTTTACTTTATTAACCTACTGGATAGTGGGATTGGAAAGACTGAGTGTATAACAGACATCTTGATTAATTCGCACTGGATTAAGAATTACTGAAAAGCTGTAGAGGTTATCTGCAGTAATTTTGCCACTACATCACAAGGCTAAACTTGAAAACACCTTTTCTGTGGCATGTACATGAATAGCAAAAAGTATGGACATTTTATAAAGTGCAATTTAAAAAATCTGTACACTTTCTATAAAATTTATCAGGCTTAATATTGTAATGTCTTATATATCCTGGAAATCTATGGGCACAAGTGTGTTATGCTTTTCCTGGTGCCCTAGAACTGTGTATGTGTTAGAAGCTGCCAGACTAACACAAGAATGGTTAGACTATTTTCCAGAGTACATGACCACAAAGTGGGTTGGTTGTTTCCCACCTTAAATGACAGCTACTACCTAATGCTAACAAACCATGTTTTTAATAATTATTTGAAATGGGTAACTGTAGAGCACAGTTTCTTTGAAGCCAACAGATTCACATGAAACATTATGTTTTTACCCACTTTTTTGGGGGGGTGGCAAACATACCTAATACTGCTGCCTCCTATTTCCCCCACAACAAGCACCCTGTGTGGTGAGTGGGTTGAGGGAGAAGGACTGGCCCAAAGTCACCCAGCTGGCTTTCATGCCCTAGGGAACCTAGAATTCGGTCTCCTAATTTCTAGGCCAGCACCTTTAACCAGCACCAAACATCCATGAGTCTGGAATAGAATTTTTAGTCTTGCTAATATCTTCTTTCTTACAAAGAATATTTTAGAAAAATTTTAAAAACCACCATCCTCACTATTTTTTTTATCTTGCCTCCTGAAGTGGGGTGCATCTTTCTCCATTCTCATGCATTTATGAGATGAATTTTTTTTTTACTTTCCTGGAGTAACCTAACTACAGAGAAATATTGTCTTTAAAACACACTAGGTATTTATAAATAAAATAAAATCAGTCCCTATACCAGTAGTGGCGAACCTATGGCACACGTGCCAGAGGCGGCACTCGGAGCCTTCTCTATGGGCACGTGCGCCATGCCCGGGAGATGGCAACCGTCTCTCTTCAACCAGCCTCCTGCTAACTCGCCAAGGTCCCACATGGCTGGATGCATCCCGGCATGGCTGGTTTCCCTCCCTCCCTCCCGTCCCATCCTTCCTGGTCTTGCATGCTCTCCTTTTCCCGGGCACAACCCACTGCATCGCCTTCTCAGCTGTCGGCTGGCCATCCAGCTCAGAGGTGGCTTCTTTGAACTGCTAGTGGCGGGCTGTGGAGCCCCAGAGTTTGCCGGTCGAGGGGCTGGCAGGCTGTGGCTGCTGACGGACACCGTTGGCCACCATGCACTTGCTGGCCTCTGTGTGCGGGGCCCGATGGTGTCAGGCAGCAACCGGCCCGGCCCTTGCCTTGCCCCATGGCAATGGCATCCCCACCCTGCCTCACCTCACCCCGTAGGACGAGTCTCCTGCCTACCGCCCCACTGCCAGAGACCGTCTGGATCTCCCCCAACCCTGCCCACCCCCACAGGCATCCCTCCCGAGCAACATTGAGGTGACCATGCCCACCTTGGCCACACCCACCCAATCTGCCATGACCACCACAGACATGCCCACCCAGTGGGCCACGCCCACCTGGCACCCAACAATAAATAAGTGGATTTTGGGTTGCAGATTGGGCACTCGTTCTCTAAAAGGTTTGCCATCACTGCCCTATACCAAAACTTGTCTAAACTTGAATTTTGTAATATCTTATTGAATGACTTAAATTAATAATTATAAAAGTGTATGAAGAAATCTTCTTAAAAGCAAACTTGATTTTTAAAAAGAATCTTTATTACAGAAATATACAACTCTTCCACAAAGGAGGGATATAGAAGGCTTATTGTCAGAAGGCTGTTAGTACTTTAAAAAAACCCAAACATTTTGTATACACTGATCTACAGTGGGGAATAAGTTATTTACAGGAATATACAAGAGTACCTTCATTTCACCAGGTTTGACATTTGTACAACGTGTCATTTATTGGAGACCAGTTTATTTCACTCTATATGTGTAGAAAACGCAAAGTGCTTTTGTAAAGTTCCATCCAATGGCTAAGGAGACCACGTACAGCAAAATGAGAAGTGCAAATGGATACAGAAGGACCACCGTGTTCTTCAGGAATGGCAGTGCTGAAAGGGAGCAGAGCTTCAGTAGAAACCAAGACTGCGACTCTTTGTCTCAATGATAAGAAAGAGCAGGAAGCACTCCCTCTTGTGTGCGAGAAAGCTAGTGCACTTTCGCTAAAAACACATCCCCAAAGCAACTGCTAATTCTTAGAAATATGAATCTTCTTGAAACAAAAACCACTGAAGGAAACGGCAGAGTTTGCACTCTGGGGGCTCACATAAGTAATTTATTATACCCAAGGGGAGGGTATTACAAGACAACTATGGAGGTTTTATGCTAAGGAGCAAAAGTAAAGACTTTGGAGTTTCTCTGTGATTACAGATAGTCCTTGACTTATGACTGGTTGCTTAATGAGCATTCAAAGTTACAATGGCCTCCCCACCTAAGGTACTTCTAATCCAGTTCTGAAGACCACTTCCTCCCTGGCAGTTACATAACCGCATGTTGGACACTTAGCAACTTAGCCTGTAATAATGGCTGTTTGACAAATCATAACAGAACATTTATGCACACTTGTTTAGTGTCAATAAAACTGTTCCTTCTCATCTGCAATACCAATTTCTTGCTGAAAGCTTTACCATTACTTACCACTGTACCCCAGAAATGTCACATAGATGTAATAACTAATTGCAACCAGCCAGAAAGTATTTCCAACAAAATAGCCAAGAGATGATGCTGATAAAATTACATCTGCAAGAGATAACTCAGTCTCAGTATATGGCATAAAAGAAAGCAAGACAATAAAAGTGCTTCAATTTAAAAAAATACTTACAGTGAATGAAAAACAACTGGATAAAATGCAGAATAACAAGAAGTGGGTAGAAAGCATTCAAATGAACATCAAAGGCATATCCCCACTCTACATCATAGTCCCTGTTCTGATGCTTTAGCAAAAATTTATTGGAGATAAACCTTTGGGGGGGAAATTCAAAACCTATGTATTAAATTGTGCAATACTTTATTAATTCAATATAGCATGAAATAATTCTTCAGATAACTCTTTTTCAATGTGTGTAGTACTCTCGTGTTTTGTAGTACTTTCAAATCCAAATGTATTTTTGATCTAGAAATCCAAAATAAATCTTGCAAGTTCTTTTAAGGAATATTATAAAAGCAAAAGAATAGTTTTGATTCCTTAGCAGAATATTAAAAATACAAATATATACTTCAGTAAGGAAATTTATTTTTCCACCCTCCTCTCTCTGTAATACAGTTTGTGCCTATTATATGCCAGAGAATCCTAAGCATATTTTCTAGTCATTTTCTACTCCAGATGGTTTCCATAAAGTCTACTGCATACATAAATGTTGAGTACTGGTAACAAGTGAACTCAGCATTAATTTTAATTTTGTATGACCTTCTCCAGAAAGTAAATCCAATATGTGAACATCATTTATGATCCATTGTTCAAAATATTCTACACTTTCCTTTTAACCAAATCTTGAGCTGATACATGAATACGCTATTAATTTTAAATTCTGTTTGGAACTTGCAATATATAAATTCAGAAATCTGAATTTTAAGATTATTTTAAAGAGACTTACCACATTAAAGTTGCAATGAGAAGGCCAACTCCTACACAATCTATAAACACGACCCACAGCAGCAGCTTTATCATTTCAACAAATCCCAAGCCTAACACAAAGCCAAATCCTATAGTGGATACTGCAGAAGGAAGATGAACAGCGGTGACATATATGATTAATTCAAGGTATACTAGATGCTCTAACTTTGAATAGCCATGTGCTTCCCAAACATAATACTGCTTAGAGAATACTCATTCAGTAATATGCCTCCATCTCCAATAAAGTTAATTGCTTATATAGTTTCATCTTTCCAAGCACATATTTTATATTGTGTTTATGTTGTCAATACTGCTAGTCTAAAAACTAAGACACACAGACATAAGAGTACTTTGGTAGTGTTTTTCTACTTAAATGTTTCTAAGTTGATGAAATAAGTTATAGATAATGGTGTATTTTTTTAAGACTAGGGATGAAATGGCTCGGCATTAGGCTGCTTACCAACAGAGAATTACTGGATATTGGTGTTCCTGGAGTTTAAATAAAATTTGAAGTCCCTTCACAAATATTATGAATCTGACTCTACCAACAGGTGTTCAAAGTCTCTGGGAATGTACAGGCAAGGTACTTCTAGCTCTCAATTTTGTAATGGTTTACTCTGGTTGAGCACTATAAAACACCAATATTTATTTTATTTATATCCTACCTTTATTATTTTTATAAATAACTCAGGGTTGCAAACACACACAATACTCTTTTCTCCTCCTATTTTCCCCACAAGAACTCTGTGAGGCAAGAAAGACAGTGACTGGCCCAAAATCACCCAACCAGCTTTCATGCCTAAGACTCAGTCTCCTGGCTTTTAGTCTGATGCCTTAACCATTAGACCAAATTGGTTACTGTTACTGAGGTCTCATTACTACCAATACTTAAGAGCACCAAGCTAGAAACACTAATTTCAAGTAGATAAATTCTCAGCTACTCACCACACAGCCAGATACTCAGCAACACAAGGAAAGCAGGGTCATCTCTGGCCCATTGGTCTTTTGTTTGTTTCCTATACTGAAAATTTCTGTACACCTTCTGTGGTGAAGTGAATAGATACAACATCTGCCACACAGCGAACTCAAAGTCCATGTGACGAAAATGAAGGAGTCTCCTCAAGTATTTATAGCGCTTTGCCCCAGCTGTGTGTCTTGCTGATGCTCTAGTATTTAAAGATCCATTGCCCTGATCTCGGGGATTAATTGATGTGGTAGGCAACATCTTGCTAAAGAGGGGAAAAACAGCCACAATTTTTAAAAAGAAGTATATTTGAGCTAAAACTTCAAAGCAGGCACCAGCTTCCATGTTGAAATTATAAAAGACTTCCTCCCACTTCTAGCTAGTAAATCCTTGCTCTGTTTTATATAAGCATGTATTAGATCCTGTTATTAAACATAATAGTAGAAAGTCAATCCTTACACTATCTGTTAAGTATACTCAAAGTGTTAACATACTAGATACAATTGCAAAAAAATATTTCTCAAAAGATTCTAAATGAAAAAGTCACAAAATTATGGGGAAATGTGCCACTTCATCCATTTGGCATCACTATTCTTGAATGAGCAGAGAGGTTAATATTAATACCTTAGCTAAGATCATCATTTTATATGATGCTCTCGCTCTGGCAATAATGTGATTCAGTATAAAGGACTCAGTACATAAATAGGTATGAAAAAGATTTGTCTATTTAAGATTTTTGGTGAGGATAATGCTAAAAAAAAAAGCGTGCTTCCAAGAAATTTGCAAGAATTTCAAGATATATATAGCAAGTGTTGCAGGATTTGCCATTCCAAAATATTGACCAAGCAGAGAAAGCAACAATAAATCACTGGCAGTGATTTTTCTCTCTCATCGCCACTCCCCACCAGCCAAAAATTAATTCAGGTACCATAACAAACCACAGCTACATGCATGAGCCTCAGGTTTCTGCAAACTCCTCTTTATGGTTGGTATAGTTCAGACCATGCATTATCTTCTCGCACAGGCCAAATTAGGACAAAATATATACTGACTTTGAAACACCTGTAAATGATCCAAAGCTTTACTAATTCATAAGATACATTGAGTTGTACAAATGGAAAATAATATATCTGTAAATTATTTTTCTTTCCTGCATAGTAGACTTAGGCAGGACTATATTGCATGTATGAAGTATACTAGGAGACTGCAGAAAATGACAGCAAAGAACTAATGTTCTTACACTATCTTTAACAAAAACAGGCAACAACTGAGCTTTTATACCTTTCAATCCAAGGTAGTAAATCTCAAATGGCTAGAGAAGTTTTAGGAACAAGAAAATCATTCAGCAAACATAACTGTGGAATAACAGAAATGAAAGTAAATCAATACTGTAAAGGGAATGAAAAGCCAGTTGCAGAAAATAAATATAGGTAGTATTTGTATGTATCCACATACAACCACAATTATAATAATAATAAAGTTGGAAGGGATCTTGGAGGTCATCTAGTCCAACCCTCTGCTCAGGCAGGAAACCCTATATCGTTTCAGACAAATGGCTGTCCAATCTCTTCTTAAAGACTTCCAGTGTTGGAGCATTCACTGCTTCTGGAGGCAGGTTGTTCCACTGATTAATTGTTCTAACTGTCAGAGAATTTCTCCTTAGTTCTTGGTTGCTTCTCTCTTTGGTTAGTTTCCATCTGCTGCTTCTTGTCCTGCCTTCAGGTGCTTTGGAGAATAGGTTGACTCCCTCTTCTTTGTGGCAACCCCTGAGATATTGAAATACTGCTATCATGTCACCCCTCGTCCTTCTCTTCATTAAACTAGATATACCCAATTCCAGAAACCGTTCCTTATATGTTTTAGCCTCCAGTCCCCTGATCATCTTTGTTGCTCTTCTCTGTACTCTTTCTAGAGCAGGAATGTCAAACTGACGGCCCACGGGCCAGATGCGTCATGCCAAAACCGCACCCACCTCATTGCCAGCAATGGGAAAAAAGTCGCAATACATTGCGACACGTCACGTGATGTTGCGAGTTTGACACCTGTGTTCTAGAGTCTCAACATCTTTTTTACATTATGGTGACCAAAACTGGATGCAGTAATCCACGTATGGCCTTACCAAGGCACTGTAAAGTGGTATTAACACTTCACGTGATCTTGATTCTATCCCTCTGTTAATGCAGCCTAGCACTGTGTTGGCTTTTTTTGGCAGCTGCGGCACACTGTTGGCTCATATTTAAGTGATTGTCCACTAGGACTCCAAGATCCCTCTCACAGTTGCTACTATTGAGCAAGGTACCATCTATACTATACCTGTGCATTTGGTTTTTCTTGCCTAAAGGTAGAACCTTACTTTTTTCAGTATTAAATTTCATTTTGTTAGATAGCGCCCAATGTTCAAGTCTGTCAAGATCTTTCTGTATCTTAAGCCTGTCTTCTGGAGTGTTGGCTATTCCTGCCAGCTTGGTGTCATCTGCAAATTCGATGAGTTCCCCATCTATCCCCTCGTCCAAATCATTGATGAAGATGTTGAAGAGCAGTGAGCCCAGAACAGAGCCCTGGGGCACCCCATTACACACTTCTCTCCATGTAGATGCAGTTCCATTGAGGACCACACGCTGAGTACGGCCGGTCAGCCAGCTACGGATCCATCTGGTGGTGATGCTGTCTAACCCACATTTTTCTATCTTATCAAGTAATAGGTTGTAGTTATATCCACAGCATTCCTCTGGTCCACTAATTTTGTCACCTGGTCAAAGAATTGTATAAGATTTGTCTGGCATGATCTGTTTTTGACAACCCATGTTGGCTTTTGGTAATGCCTTTATTTGCCTCTAGGTGATTCGTTGCTTATCTTTTCCAGAATCTTCCCAGGTATTGAGGTTAAGCTGATAGGTCTGTAATTTCCTGGATCCATTTTTTTCCTTTTTTGAAGATGGGAACTACACCAGCTCTTTTCCAGTCCTCTGATAGTTCCCCAGTGTTCCAGGATCTTTGGAAGATATAGTTCAGTGGTTCTGAGATCACATCTGCCAGGTCCTTCAGAATCTTGGGGTGTAGTCCAACTGGTCCTGGTGCTTTGAACTCATCTAGGGTGGATAGGTACTCACTTACCATTTTCTTGCCTATCTTAACTTGTGTTTCTAATCTGTTTTTTACGGTACTGTTTTTGATAGGTTGGACTGTTTTTTCCTTTTGTATAAATACGCATGCAAAAAATGAGTTTAGTTCTGCTTTCTCCCTGTTGCTTGTCACCTTCTTGCCACTTTCTTCCACTAATGGACCAATCATTTCCTTAACTTTTTTTCTTGTTTTTTACATGTTGAAACTTTTTTTGTTATTTTTGACTTTGAGCCTCAAAATTTGTCGCTAAGCGAGACATTTGTTAAGTGAGATTTCTCCATTTTACTACCTTTCTTTATTATTATTATTATTATTACTACTATGGTTGTTAAGTTTATCTGGCTTCCCCATTGACTTAGCTTGTCAGAAGGTCACAAAAGGTGATCACCTGACCCTGGAACACGCCAACTGTCATAAACTTGAGTCAGTTGCCCATCTGAATTTTGATCATTGGGATACTGCAAAGTCATGTGAAAATGGTCATAGCTCATTTTTTTCAGTGCCGCTGTAATTATGGTCAATAAATGAACTGTTGTAAGTCGAGGACTATCTGTGCATGTTTGCAAGGTTGTTTTTCTGAGGGAAGGCTAAGCGTGCAATAAAGGAGAGCAGGTTGTGTCTTCCAAGAATGTTGCCTACATATCCACAATAATTCCACTGATCCTCAGAATAATGTAAGCACAAAATTCCAGTAAGACTATCCTCCTCCCAGTAAGATTATCTTTGCTGCTGAAGTCTGAAGGGAAAGTATGAAGATAAAAGTAATCCACAACAGGAATTAGCCAATGAAAGAAGTTCCTAGAAAAGAAACCCCAAAATCAAGGAAACTATATGGACATAGCTAATAAATTTAGCTAATCTAAGTTAAATCTCAACAGTCAGGATAATGCCAGCAACAGACTGTGGAACAAAGTACAAAACATACAGATTAAATTCAGAAAATTAAAGAGCAGAGGCAAGCCAGTAATATTTGTTCTGCAGGATACAATCAGAGCATAAAATCAACACATAAAACATACATTACACTTAACTTATTAAAGGAGAACCCAAGATCCTATAGGAAGAGACAGAGGCATTCTGAAAATAGAAGCAAAAAATATTCCTAAATATCCAAAAAAGAAAAGATACAAGTGGCTTTGGGTTCAAGAATAAAGAAAGAGGGTCAGTTTGTTGAAGAAATAAAGAGAATATTAATCCTAGAAAGGAAAACAATGACAGATTTAGAAAAGCTTATAGAATAAAATAAGCTGCTATATTCTGCAATGAAAAAAAACCACAATTCTTAAAGCAATGTTTTGTCTGTGGTGATGCTTGACAAATTGAAGGGAACAGGGGAAGTAGGAAACAACCAATGGACAAAATCGGGAATGCCATCGAAATATCCCTGGAGGATATGATATTGATGGTATTCGTCTGTTTGATTCCCTGGATTCGGGCACTTCAGTTAGATGAAAATTATGTGACAAGCCGTCGTAAATTCCTTAGTTTATACTAGCTCGGCAAGCCAGAGGACGGCGGAGAGAGTAGTGGGAAGGGAGAAAGTGGGGAAAGGCCGCAGGTACCTTTTAAGGCAGGAAAACACGGACCAAAGGCCGGGGCACCCACTTGCAGACGGCGGTTCGGGGCGGAGAAGGGAGAAAAGGGGGCGTGGCTCTGTTAGGATTCCCACCGTTCCAGAACCCCCCGAATGTTCCAACCGCTTTCACCTTACGCGAGCGGTGACTGCCAACCCCGCCTCTTCTCGTCTGGTCGCTGTGCCGGGGGGAGGATTAAAGACGCACCCAAGAAGAAAACACCCCCAACCTGCAAATTCTGCTCGATTGCCGCCCCCCACCACTCACAGCCCCTAAGTTGCTGACTTCCGTGACTTCCAGCCTAAAAGTGCCAAAGCGCATGCGTACGCAAGAAGCACAGGCTGACAGTAGTCTTTAAGCGGAGGCTGATGACGTACACGGACTTTTAAAAAGTGTAGAAGGATCTCTCAGTTCAGTCATTGAACAGGAATATTTTATAGTGGGTTACGTTGCAAGTTTATTTTTAATTTGTTTCTAAATACTATAGAGAGATACTGCTAGTTTTTTATGCTGATTCTCCAATGTTAAACCGACTCACCATTGTATTTTTATTTAAAACATGCATTTATGTCCATCTCACTGTTCACTTTTTAAGTAAACAATATTCCCTGCTTGGATTGAACCATGATGAAGACTTTTCCCTCAACAGTATAAATAAAGTCCTATCAAATAACACATGTAATTACTGACTTCTTCCACCTAAGTCTACGGACTGTTGTCTCGCCTGCGGGAGCGGGAAAAGCACGTTAAGCATAGCTTCCCATTGAAAACGAAATTCCTCACAGAAGCAAGATGCCTTTTCTAGACTTTTCGTAACTCCAGGAATAGGTGAAGAGTGAGCGAAGACGGTAGCCCTCGGGAAGCGCAGTTCTTGCAGCTGAGGAAGTTGCGGAGCCGTGGTGACTCCGTGGACGTCTCGATGCCGAAATACTACGAAGGGAAAGAGGAGGACAGGCGGGCGTGCTCCGGGATACGCGAGGATCTGAAGTCCTGCCTGCTGGAGTGTCCCTGCGTGATCGAGGTAGCGAAGGCTGCGGGAAGATGGAGCTCGAGGCGTCGCTTAGCAAGCCCCTCGACGGCGGGGCGGCCGAGGAGATGGGGCGGAGGGTAGAAAAAGGCTCTCTTGCATCTCGTTGTCCCAAAGGTGCTTTTTCAAAAGGCTACTGGAGAGTCCAGTTGCCTTTTGAAAAAGCATCTTTGGGACAACCATGATCTGGATGACTGAGAATCTCCATATAGACATTACATTGCGTTCTTTTCCGAAGGAGATGAGCCAGCCCGGACAGGTAACTTGGCTATGAAAGGCTGCCCGCTTCCTTTAACAACCCCCTCCCCCAAGTATCTCCATGTTCCCAGTGGGTCCTTTGTGAGGATCAAAGGTATTGCTGGAAATAAATATGATCTTAAAATTCCACTCCACTAGCTATTCTGAAACAGGTAAATCCCATGTTACTATGCACAGAGTTATTATATGCCTCTTCTGCAAAAGGCAGGAGTTCAGCCCAATTGGTCTGTTGGTAATTGACATAACATCTCAGGTACTGCTGTAACACTGAATTGGTTTGTTCACAGGCTCCATTGGTACTGGGATGGTAGGCAGAGCTAATTCAGTGTTAGAGCAGTACCTAAGGTGGTGTGTCAATTACCAACAGACCAATTGGGCCAAATCCTGCCTTTTGCAGAAGTGGCATATAATAACTCTGTGCATAGTAGCATGGGATTTACTGCTTTCAGAATATCTAGTGGGGTGGAGACTTTACTTTGCATCATGACAATGTTTATATCATTTTTCTTGTTAAAAATAATGTTTAAAAGAGTTTTAAATAGATGTGTGTAGTAAAATAAGTGCTTGACAGCACATTATGACACAGATGTATTTATTGCCTATTGCTGAATGGGAGTAAAGAATTTTAATATTTTATCATACAGCAAAATAAATACTGTTAGATTCCGTATGAATCCAATACAGAGTGCCCATATGAAAAAGCCTTGAGAATGCTTTTTGAAATATAAGTCCAGCCATATTTTGTTCATATCAAACCTGGAAACTATTGGGACAGTCCTTCACAATTTTAGCTCCGTTCTTGTGAAACTTATTTGTGGGCCTTCTACAGCCATCTTGAGGAAGGGTATAATGAAGACAGTTTTGTTCTTCATGGAATGATTTTTTTTATTTTTAGCAAGTTTTAGTTTTTGATCATTCTTTACTTTTACTTATATTGGAAAAAATTATGAAAGATTATGTATAATATAAATTTTCACTAATGCCTAAATGAATATATTGAATCCTTTATCTGGGTATCTTTTGTGACAGGAAGGGAAGAGTGCCAAACAATGCTTGAAGGAAGGACATTGCAAAAGTTTGCTGATTTCCATGTTTGAATGCAAAAGGTCATTGGTAAGTTTGTAGGGGGACCTCCTCGGAATACAAGTTGAGAAAAGTGCAAAAATGTAAGGCTGCTGCTGAGCTTGCTTATTTGTCCTACATAAATCACTACCTTTTCTCTGCAAACTGCAAGGTGGGGTGTAGTTATAGAAAGCAGACAAAATATGTATGTTTCATCAGATTAAGGTGATTATTTGTTCAAGACCTTTTCATGTGTTCTAAATTGCAACCTGCTAATTTTATTCTCTGTAAATCAGTGAAAGTCGTTAGTTCAGCCCATCCCTGGAGTTTGTCAGTACTGTGTGAGGAGAAAAAAATGAGAAACCTCAATTGTTTGTAAATAAAATTGTTTGCTTCTGGATCCAATTCAAAATATGGTCATAACCTTTAAAGCCCTTTATGCATGGAACCAGGATATCTGAGGAGTCGTATCACCCTGATAAGACTAGCCAACGCCACTGGTTCCAGTGGAAAGGGCCTACGTCGGATCCTATCTGCCAAAGAATTTTGGTTGGTGGTGTCCAGAAGAAGAACCTCTGGAATATTCTCCTGTTGGAAGTAAGGTCCACCCCCATACTCCTGGCCTTCCAGAAGAGCCTGAAAACATGGCTCTGCTGCTGAACCTGGGGCCTGCTACATTGGAGGTGGCTGAGCAGGTAGAGAAGATCTTCGTGCTCAGACTTTCACTATGGAATATACAACCATCAGTACAGGCAACGTTTCTTAGTTTTTCAGCTTGAGTTTTTGTTTATTTATTTAAGTTTTTATGGTCATCAATCTCACATACATGATTTTGGGCAACTAACAGTTAAAACAAAATAAATACAAGATGAAATGCCCAAAATTTAAAAACAACATAACAACATAAAAATAGCTGCAGGGAACATAATTATTAGGTTTGCTTATTAATCACATAATATACAGGGTATGACATTCTTAATCAACAATAGTTTTAGAAATCCCAGATAAAGCAAAGACATAAATATTCCAAGTGGGCTCTAACAAAAAATGCATTTATTTCTGAGCTTACAAGACTGATTCAAGATAGTAATATTTATTTTTTACATCCTGCCAACCTGGACAACATGGATTTAATATTATTTCACCCTATGAATCCCAACACTCACTCAGAACTTGAAGTTAGACTGTGTTCTAATTCTATAAAATAAAATTCTGAAAAAAAATTACTGTAGACGTTCCAGTGAATTATGCATGGATGTGAAGACAATTGCCTGCATGACTTCCAAAAAAGCTATTTGAATAGCTTTAAGTGCTTATTATATAACTGCTGGAAATATTGCTTTTATTGGCATTTTTTAAAATGTTGAATTTACTTTTAATCTAAATTATTTTAAACTCAGTAAAATTTTTTGAAACAAGTTACCCATTTAGGCTTCCTCCCAGGAAATTTCCTTCCAGGAAATATAATCCGGACTATATGCTAATATTGCCATATTTTCTTATAAGCTTCCTAAAATAAAAAAAAAATTGTTGTAGGAAGTTTTAAAAAGTTAATAGTTTTTACTTTTATTTATTTTTTTCTCCCTTAAAGTTGGATAACAGAACAAGATTCAGAGGAATAAAAGGATATTGAAGCTGCTTTTTAAGATGCAATCTTGGGGATATTTTTGGCAGATTGAAGGACCAAAATTCTCTGGGATTCCTTTGACGCTATTCCTGGATGTGATATAATGAAATGATTGGCACGGTGAATATCAGAGGTACTGAACTGAAAATAAAGTCTGGCGGTTTTATGGATATCATATTGTAAATAAAATCTTTAATTTCAACTGATCTCTTTAATCTTGGATATTATTTTTCTAGGAACTGAATTATTGTATAGGTTGATTAATCCTATAGTAATGTTTCAATATGTAATATTATTGTACTTATATTTTTTAATTTTTTTAACAAGTGTTCTGCAAAAATGTCAAATTATATACAAGTATGAAGTCATACAGTATAATGTAAGCTGGTATCCACTGAAATAGATAAATGTATTTACTACAAACATTCATGAATATCCTGTTCCAGCAATTGAAGTGCAACACATTTTCTGTAAACACTGCAATTTCAGAAAACAAGCTCTAGAACTCATTTGAAAATGGTTAACATTTGTGGTGTTCAGCTGGAAATGTCCAAAGGTATGGTGCCAACACATCTTAAGGATAGCAGACTGGAGAAGGCTAGCTGGTTTTACTTTTTTTCCAAAACATATTGTTGCTTAGTAGAATGTATATTCTACAGGAATATTCTTCCTGTACTCCATTTTGCTATTTTTGCCTAAACCTCTAATCACTTTTTATATGTGATTTCTGTTATAAAATTACAGGCAACCAACTATGGTAGAAATTGACAATACATTACTCACAACTATTAGGATATCTGTTGTGTTTTCCAAGAAGTGCTTATGCCTCTCCAGTAATTAAAATTATATTTAAAATCTCTTGAGATGTTATACATGAAGAGGGAGGTGAGCATGCAAAAGATCTGGAAAGGTTGCTAAAGATTCAGTAATCTTCAGTGGTGAAACTTAAAGAAACCTGAAGATTCAATAAACAGTTGAAGTTTTTATAGTATCTGGTGATAGTGGCAGATGTTCCACCATTTGGGGACAGAGGGAGATAGAAATGGTTACAGTAGAATATACTTGTGGCTATATACAACTCTCACAGAACCAGGGCTTTTCCCTGTGTATAAAGGGAACAGGATCATTTTGAGCCCTAGCAAAGTAGTCTTCCTTGTATTCATCATGATTGGAGATCCATTGCCTGGAGAATAACAATGTATTCCAACAACACAAAAAGTAGCCATTCCCAATTTAAGCTGATCACACTTAAGGCTGCCCTGACAAAGTTCTAAAGCAGTGGTTCTGAACCTTTTTAATGCCGCGACCCCCAACCGGTTGTAAGTCGAGGACTAAACCGGTCATAAGTCGAGGACTAAACCGGTCGCAAGTCGAGGACTAAACCGGTCGTAAGTCGAGGACTAAACCGGTCGTAAGTCGAGGACTAAACTGGTCGTAAGTCGAGGACTACCTAACCGGTCATAAGTCGAGGACTTTCCCTGCCTGGGAGCGCCGCGCATGCGTGGTTCCGCCCCCTGCGCCGGCCGAGGCGTAGCTGGCAAGCAGCAGAGACGGAGCAGGCCGACCACCAGCTGGCCCAGCTCAAGGGAGGTAAGGCACCCGCCGGAAAAGGGGAAAAAAATGGCGGACAGCCTTGCTTGGCGACCCCCGTGAAATGGTCGATCAATCCCAAATGGGGTCACGACCCATAGGTTGAGAACTGCTGTTCTAAAACATTTACAATGCATTAAATGTTGCTGGTAGTTTGAATAATATAATTGCTTCATTAAATCGATCGAGGTTGGTAGTACCATTTAAAGTGTTAGTCCAAAATATGTCCTCCAACTGCCCCTGCAACATCTAGATCAGTGATGGCAAACCTATTACACCGTGTCAAAGGTGACACACCACAACATTTTGAGTATCACTATAGTTTTCATCACATCCAACAACTATTCTCGAAAGCACACCTTGTCTCATGAGATTTTTGGAAGCTCTGGAGGCCGTGCACCACTAGGATGTGCTCTCACACAACTTTGGACCCTCTGGAAGTCATGAGAGAGGGCCATGCTCTTGCGTGGCCTCCAGACTCTCAGAAAATGAGTTTTTTACTCATATTTCATTTTTATAATCATTTGATTTTTTTTTATATAATACATAGCCTCATACATGATTAGACTATTTTTTTAAAAAAATAAATAAACATGTAAATGTTTCTCTTTTCTTTTTTGGGGAGGGGGGACATACCAGCGGAATCAATTAGACATTTTCTGAATTTTTGACATGCCAAAATCAAGATCACGTGAAGTTAGTTAGCAGTATAATGCTTAGTAAGACCACACTTGGAATATTGCACCCAGTTTTGGTCACCACAGTATAAAAAAAATATTAATTTTCTAGAAAGAGTGCCAAGAAGAGCAACAAGGATGATTAGGGGGCTGGAGACTAAAACATGAAGAACAGTTGCAGGAATTGAGTATGTCTAGTTTAATTAAAAGAAGGACTGGGGTGACATGATAGCAATGTTCCAAGATCTAAGGGGCTGCCACAAAGAAGAGGGGGTCAACCTATTCTCCAAAGCACCTGAGGGCAGGACAAGAAGCAATGGAGGGAAACTAATCAAGGAGAGAACCAACCTAGAACTAAGAAGAAATTAGTTAGAAAAAAAGTTAAAACAATTAATCAGTGGAACGACTTGCCTCTAAGTTGTGGGTGCTCCAACACTGGAGAGTTGAATAACAATTTTTTTTGAAATAGTATGAGGTTTCTCGAGCATGGGGTTGGTCTAGACTCTAGAAGACCTCCAAGGTCTCTTCCAACTCTTGTTATTCTGTTATTTAGAAGGCAAGGATACTATCACTCCAGCTACCATGTGCCAATAAATAAATATCATCTAATGACTTTTTGCTGAGTTGTTAAGCGAACCATTGCAGTTGTTAAGTGAATCTTGCTTCCCCCATTGACTTTGCTTGGTGGAAGCCAGCTGGGAAGGTTACAGATGGTGATACAGAAATACATTCCAGTTGTCAAGCATCTGAATTTTGATCACGTGACCATAGGGATGCTGCAATGGTCATAAATGTGAAAACCAGTCATAGGTCTCCACAATTGGGACCAGCATCTCCATTGCTAAGCAACACAATTGTATATTGAAACGTGACATCACCACACCAGACTTATACCATCTGTTCTGCTGCTGTTGTTAAAGTGAATCAGACGGGTCTTCAATCATGACATCACATGACCACAACTTATGACTTCCTGTTGCATACTGATGGCATGAATATTATTTTTAATTTAATGCATTATCTTGATTGCTATTGATATGAACAAAAAAGAATTATTTTCCTGTTTCAAAATATCCCAAAAGGAACCAAGCTGATCTTAAGACTTTTTCAATTTTGTGCAAGGCATTTGAAAGAGGTTATTCAGCAAACGAATCATTTTGAAGTGACTGTAAGTACAAAGATGATCAGGAAATAGCTTTGGAAGTAGCTGTATGTAATGTGGTATAATAAGGTAGAATAATGAACAATTACTAAAATAATGATTTGTCTGCATAATTACTAGAATAATGATGTAATGCATAATCACTGGGAAAATTCTGTGTCAGTAATGTGTGACTAACCAAATGCGCATTGCACATGGATACTTTGTATGAAGCAAAACCTCCATTGTATGCCCGTGAGAAACGATCCTAATGTATTACAATGTGTATTACAATGTGTACTCCTTTGTTCCTGAGAAAAGGAAAGTATAAAACTGAAGTCTGATCCCGCCCTCCTTGTTCAGAATTGCTTGTCTCCATTGCTTCTGAACCTGCGCAAATAAATCTCTCTGCTAAAACCCTCTGGAATTCGTAAGAGTCCTTTCGTTTTCCACAAGAATTTTGGCATCTCCAGATGGGACTCTTAGGAAGAGGCCGTTGACCTGCCAGATGGACTGCCCTGGGGGAAAACCCTCTCCTAATGACGACTTCTCCAAGCCGGCTCTGTGGCCTTTGACTACGGGGAGACCTCGACGGGAAGAGAGGGAACTCACCACCAGCGAAGCACTCCAGTCAAGGATCCACCGAGGGTAGCAGACGGGTCTTTTAATCCACAAAAGGGTCTGGAACGCCTGCAGGCAAGTATTATAAAAAGGGGTACCTGACCCCGTTTGGATCAGAAGAGGGAACTGATCAACTCCTAGAAGACAAAGGCGGCGTCCTTAAGTCTTCAATAGGTAGGATTGTGTGGGTGGTTAAACCATCTCATTTCCTGCAGAGTGACCGTTGGAACGTCAGGCACCACAGGTCGGTGGTAGTGTGTTAAGGAGGAATGGGAGGAAAACAGACTAAGGAGGGCGTTGGTCAGACGCCACTCCAGTGTATGTTGGCAAATTTTAAAAAGGGGTTTTCTAGGGAATATGGGGACCCACGACCAAATCCAGCCATATTAAAAAGATTCTGTGAATCTGAATGGACCACCTTTGGCGTAGGGTGGCCCAAAGAGGGATCGGCGAATCCCGAACTCGTGGCACGGGTTCATCAAATTGTGACTGGAAGAGGTCATTGGGACCAATATCCCTATATAGACCAATGGCAGATTAATATTGCAGAAAAGCCTAGATGGATAGCAAAGTGTCAGATAGAATGTGCTAAAATATATTTGGCAAGCCAAAAAGCCATAACCTCAGACAAAAGCTAAGATTTTGAGCCAGGAAGAAAGGGAGAAAGTTGCCAGACCCCCTCCCTATGTTCCTAGAAGAGAAGAAGGGGGAATATATCAGCAACCCCCCCCCTTAGAGGCCCCTTTGGTTGAAAGGAATGAAGTCCACCTTAAACCAGAAGCCGGTGTGGAAAAAGCGATAAAAAAAGAACAGAGTGTTCAGAAGGAAACACAGGACTTGGATAGAGATAACAGCAAAATATCAGTTTCAGTATTTGGCAAGAAAAAAATGAGATACCAACCGCTTTTCTCAGCCGACTGATAGAAGCCTATAAAATAAATACAGGTTTTGATATGGAAACGGCACACAATCGCCTGCTCCTAATTGAAAGATTTATCACCCAAAGTGCCCCAGACATAAAGAGAAAGTTACAACGCACAGAGGGGGCCTTAGGGAAGAATATAGCAGAGATTATGGAAATAGCTCAGAAAGTTTTCCGTAATCGTGAAAAAGAAGAGGAACGTAAATCAGATCAAAAAGAAAAAAAAGAAGGCTGAAATGTTAGCAATAGCCTTAG